ATCGTTCGGTAAATGATGTCACGTGACTCGCAGATAATAGACGCAGTGGATGCGCAGTGGATGCGCTAATCACTGCATAAACAAATGCACCCTATTATTGTCACAGATTAATAGACAGATCGCCAAAGGCCTGCCTAAAGAAGAGACCGCCATCTTCGTGCGATAGACTTTGCCCCTTACCGACACACTTTGCCCCTGGTTCGAGTCCGTGCTAAATTTCGTAGACTTGAACCAAAAGACTTTGCCCCTGGTTCGAGTCCGTGCTAAATTTCGTAGACTCGACCAAAAGACTTTGCCCCTGGTGCAAGTCCAGGCTAAATTCGTTTGACATTACCAACAGACTTTGCCCCTGGTGCGAATCCAGGCTAATTGATCATGAGACCTATTTGAGAGATTTGGCCCCCGTTGTGTGTGTGTGTGTGTGTGTGTGTGTGTGTGTGTGAGAGAGAGAGAGAGAGAGAGAGAGAGAGAGAATATTTTACATATATGCATATATATATATAAAATTTATTAAATATAAAAAATATATTTTTTACACATAAAATGTTTTTTTATTGAAATAATCACAATTTTAAATGTGATATAACACTGTTCAAAAATTTTTTAATTAAATTTTTTAATTAAATTTTATTAAAGAAAATTACTTGAAATTTTTTACATTAAGAATTTAAAGGCTCCTTATTCTCTTGTAGAAATTTATCACTACGCCAATTAATCACTTATTTTGAGTATTTAAAATACTATAATATACAGTAATTTAAGTATTCGAAATAAAAGTGATTAATTACTCGAAATAAGTGATAAATTGGCGTTACTAGTAATAAATTTCTATAAGGGTTGAAATAAAGTATAAGAGATAAATAGGCTATATGTGAGCCGTATGCGAAATGTGAGATGTAAGACGCATATTGAAATTTAATTTTTCGATATAACTTTCAAAAATGTACACGAGGTACAAAAAATTAGCTTGGACATTTGTAAGACTTAAAATTGGGATTAATTCTCAATTCTATTAATTAAATTTCGATATAACACACCTTACATCCGCGCACGGCTCACATATAGCCCATTTATTAGTGCAATTTTTAAGTTCCTTATTTTTCAAAGTTCACCTTTTTACGTTATCAAATATTTTTGGTACGTTTTCAAGAATTTTATATTTTTACTTACCGCAGTTTCTTATCCAAATGTAAAATCTTTTATCGCAGTCTATAAAAAATTGAAACAATTTACAATTTTATGATATAATATTATTATTATTACAATTTCTATATATATGCACATCTGTCAAATATCGTGATTTATTTCACATTATTATTATCTATTTTAATAAAAAAAAACAAAAACACTTGCAACAATCAAAAATAAACCGCCTGCCGCGAACGGAAAATGCCAAGAAAGCACGCAATTTCCGCGAATCTCGTAATTTTTTTGAAAAATCAACAATTTCAACGAAATTGTAAATTCTTCAAATCACTGCACAAGTATAATTCACAATAATAATTTGCAGTAACTACGATAAAAAATCGTATACTGAAAACCGCAAACGAAAGTGCAATGGGAGTAAGAGTAAAGTCTGTGATAAAATTAATTTGCAATAGAAAATTAATAATTTGCAAATAGAAAAATTTTGAAATTACCGAGGATTTACAAATAATAAAGTAAAAATATTAAATAATTTATGTTTTCGAATTTTGCTCGCGGAGAGGATCTTTAAAACAAGATTTTTAGAAGAGAGGACCTTTAAAATATAAACAGGCAAAAACGTTGGAAAAATTAAAGCGCGCGTTTAAACAGATAAACGCAATGAAATAAATACGCAATTGTTTTTACTTATCGCTGTAAGCTCACAAGCTTCTGACGTGCTATACACTTTTATATAATATATACAAGGTGTCCGGTAACTAACGGACCAATGATTAAGGGCGGATTCTCTGGCCAATTTGGAGACGATTTTTCCTTAGCAAAAATGTTGAGAAGTCAATAATTTTCGAGTTATAAGCGATTGAAAAAAATAGGTTTTTTGAAAACTAAACGTTTTGGAGTTAAAAGTCTAACATAATTACATTCTTCAGTTAATTTCAGGTAGAGTTTACTATAATAAAATTTTAATTTAAGGCTTAGTTATAAAGATACATAATGACAAAGATTGGAAAGTTGTAAAAAATGATGACCTTTTTCGACATTTTCGCTGAGGAAAAATCGTTCCCAAATTGACCAAAGAATCCATTTGTAATCATTGGTCTGTTAGTTACCGGACACCCTGTATATTGGACACGAGTTTCGTTTGTTTCAGATTCTCGAGAGTTGAAGTAGGAACATACGAGTATCATATATCGTTTGTGACTTGCCGAATGAAAGCAAGACAGAGAGCGAACGAGATGATGAGCTTAATAGCTCATAATGTTATAAATAAATAAATAAAAAATTATAACCTGACCTACTAGTTATTGAATCTTTTTTTAATAAAATGTTTCATTATTATTATCATCTAAGTCTAAGTCGTTTAATTACTTTTTAGTTTTTTAATAATTAATTTAATTTATTCTAGTCATTTTTATATGAGAAAAATAATATCACGTATACGTTTTATAATGAATTAATATATTTCGGGAACCGAATTATATATTCTTAATAATATAAAAGTGTTCAAAAATTATATTTGACTTTTAATTTTAATTATTTTATAGCAAAGAGTTCCGAAATCTCTTACACACATAATGGGGATTTTTTTCATCCATATAATTCGCAATTAAGTATATATGTTAATTATTAATTTTAATAAAATAAAAATTAAAATTAAAGGTCAAATATAATTTTTAAACACAAATATATTAAATTAATTATAAAACGTATACCCATGATAGTATTTTTCTCGTACAAAAATAATTAGAGTAAATTAAATTAATCATAAAAGATTAAAAATTAATTAAAGAATTTAAACTTATATTTTATATAATAATAATAAAACATTTTATTACGTCAAACCGTCGTGAAATAATTAAATAAAATTTGCTAGTTACGTCAAAGTCAAGTTTTCTAAGCTTATAAAACATTTTATTAAAAAACAGATTCAATAAATATAAGTACATGTTATATATATACTTATATTTATTGAATCTGTTTTTTTTATAAAATGTTTTATTATTATCATATATAATATAAATTATTTAATTATTTTTTTATTTTTTTATGAGTAATTTAATTTGTTCTAATTATTTTTGTACGAGAAAAATACTATCACGGGTATACGTTTTATAACGAATTAAATATATTTATGTTCAAAAATTATATTTGACCTTTAATTTTAATTTTGTATTTTATTAAAATTAATAATTAACATATATACTTAATTGCGAATTATATGGATGAACAAAATCCCTATTATGTGTGTAAGAGATTTCGGAACTCTTTGCTAAAATAATTAAAATTAAAAGTCAAATATAATTTTTGAACACTTTTATATTATTAAAAATATATAATTCGACTCTCGAAATATATTAATTCATTATAAAACGTATACGTATTAGTATTTTTCACATATTAAAATGATTAGAATAAATTAAATTAATTATTAAAAAACTAAAAATTAATTAAACGACTTAGACTTAGATGATAATAATAATGAAACATTTATTAAAAATAATTATAATAGGTCAGGTTAATATTTTATTTATTTATTTATTTATTTATTTATAACATCATAAAATTCTGTCCTTTCCGAAATACGCGAACGCTACGAAAAGATAAATCTCGTACATGCCGCCGGACGAGTTCATGAGCATGAGACGCTCATCTTAGGAACGTATTAATAGTTACTGCATTGACCACTACTACGATATGGCGCTGAAATCAGTGAGAAATGCTGGTCTCTCCTTCATCCAGACCTTTGGCGATCTGTCTATTAATCTGTGTTATTGTAGACCAGGTCTAAGAGAGGATTCACACCTTGGCAGAAAACCAACCCTTGCCTTTTCGGCCAAGGTATGAATCCTCCCTAAGCTTTAAGAAATTCACCAATAACAGTCGATTATTCCTTTCATTTTGACTATAATTGGTGAATATCTTAACGCTTAAAGTATTACACCTATTGTAGACCCGGTCTAATTAGTCAATTTCTTTAGGGCTTAAATCGCCTATTGTGAATCCGGCCTAAACTTTGAGACTAATCACAGTCAAATATTTTCCTCATATTCGAGTCTAGTATAGTATTTTCCTCATACTTGACTTATATGATTATAGTCAATTTTTTAAGGCCAGGTTCACAATAGGTGATTTAAGTAAGCTTAAGGCTGGGTTCATAAAATGAGCCCTAAAGCAAAGAATATAGACAAGTATAGAAGCACGGTTCTCGGTACCCCGCGGATCGCACAAGCTGGGGTACTTTGCTATAGTTTACGTCACGTATACTGTACTGAAATGCTCTAGATAGTACAGTATATGTGACGTAAACTATAACAAGTACACCAGCTTGTGCGACCCGCGAGGTACCGAGAATCGTGCTTCTATACTCGTTTATATATTCTTTGCCTAAACTTTATATAGATAATAATTTTTAAGACTGCTTATGTAAATACAGTTATAAAAAATGTAAATTATAAAAAAGATATAAAAATATATGTATTTATATTTTTATTTATAAATTTTGATTCTTTACTGCTTTAATTCTATTATTTAAGTATTTTTATGTGCTTTGATTCTAAACCAAAATTATCTGAAAATTATTCTAGATTTTATAGATCAAGATAATACCTTTTTTTATTTAATTTTTTCATCTAAATCTAAAATGCAGATATAGATAATATACATATTTGTATTATAAAAAGGCTAAAAAAGGCTAAAAATAAGAAGCTATAAAAAGACTAAAAATGAACAAACCCGATATTTTCGCTTTGAAGAAGCGATGAACCAATCAAAATGCAGAATCATCTCTCGCCTCTCGCGAAAATAGCGTGAAGCGGAGCAAGCCATAAAGTCGGCAGCCATTTTTAAACTGCCCGCTTATACATTATACAGTGTATAACAGAGCGTACACACATGTATAAAAAGAACATGAATAATATACATATTTTACTCCCGAGATAGAGATAATTTCGAACGAACGGGAGCCTAAATGGGACTATCGCATGACTGTCGGAGAAAACGAGAGAGGATCTAATAAGGGCGCGTAGAGGTGGAAGAAAATAATTTTCGCGATATCGCCAAGTCAAACGGAGCCCACAGTCGCGGTCGGCACCTTCGGGGAGAGGACCCATACCTCCCGCAAATTTTCATGCGAGTGCGCTGCGAAAAAACAAAAAACCGACGGACAGTGCTCGAGCGAAGAAACTCCTCCCGTAAAAAAAAATTAACAATAATGCACTAGAAGAAACTCGTTCGAAGCTGTCAAACTCTACGAAGAAGCTGAATATGTCTTCGACTCGTTATCTCATACTATTTTCGACAAGAGAGTGAGAAAGAGAGAGAGTGAGAGAGGGAGAACGAAATAGAGTGAGAGAGAAAGAGACAGCAAACTAGAACTTAAAAAATTAGCGAGAACTTCCTCTGGGTTTCAGAGAGGAATTAAAAAAAAAAAGCGTATGCCAGGACGATGTCGGGTCTACCATGCTCGAGGACGGGTGCATCCCTCGAATGCTAAGTCCCCATAATAATGGCAGATAATGTCCACAGAAAGTCGCACAAGCTGTCGTCCGATGGTACCAGCAGGAAGGTCGCGAACCCGGTGCACCGCACCACCACGGAGACGATCCGTCTCGGGGAGATCGACAGGCCGCACCAGCCGGTCGGCCTGATCAACGCGCAGGTGACAGGGGGTGGAGGAGGCGGTCAGTGCAACCGCAAGAAGACGTCCTCCTTCCAGATCACCAGCGTCACCGTAGGCTGCCGCATGAGCAATGATGCCGGCGAGGACTCGAACGACGACCTGGACGAGTCCCACACGGAGGACAACTCCGTGGAGCACTCCCGGATTACGGACCTCGACCTGGAGACTCCGAGCTACAGCGAGGACACCTTCTCCAAGGAGGACGTCTTCTTCAACACCAGCAACGCGGCTCTCAGCACCGCCCCGGTGATCCCCACCAGCTCCCAGTATGGCCTGGCGATTGTACCTTCTGAGGGAGGCAGCGTGAACAACTCAGTCAACGATAGCAATATCAGTACCCTGGACATCACCTCTGTCACGGACAACAACATCATCAATTTGTTATCCAGTAATGTCAAGCAGGACTCGGACCTAAGAGAGGTCCACTCTCATGGGAGGAACGAGAGATTCAAGGTGGTAAAGATTGAGAGCACAGAGCCTTTCAAGAGGGGACGGTGGACATGCATGGACTACCTGGATCATACTTCGGTCAATCAGCCAACTGCGATTGGTACTCCCAAAGTGTCCGATCCCAACGAGGTGTGCATATCCTACGGAGTGACGGACAGCGGGATTGTTGTACCAGAGGCTGCAAAGCAATCTGTAGTGACTGACGATAAGGGAATTAGCATCGATGCTAATGGACCGGTGTCCTCCCATCCGGACAAAGTGCACAGCAACTCCGCACAGTCGGTTACAAGTGCGAATTATGCGGTGAACAACTCGATATCCCCCAATGTACAGCATAATCCTGCGCAGAGTCAAGCCAAGCAACAACAGCAGCCACCTGCGCAGCAGATTCCCCAATACTTTCCAGCCCAGACCCAGCCGATAGTCACCCAGCAGCAGCAACAACCACCGCCGCAGGCTGGTCAAGGGTCCACGTTACCTTCCAGCCTGCAGGCTACTCATCCCAGTAACCTGGGGCAGAGTATCCCTATCATAACTCAGACTAGTAATAGCGCAGTGACCTCCCAGCAAAATATACCTCATTCAAATGAGGAAACCTATGTGACGGTGAGCGCCCAGAATCAATCCTTGCCGGTGCAGAGTATCTGTCAACCTACCACGGTTCCTCCGACCTCCCAGACGCCAAACATCCTCGTCACGCAGCATCAGACATCGGAGGCAGCTGCCAGTGGCTGTCAGCAGCCCCTGCAGACGCAGAAACCGCAGATCGCCCAGATCACCGAGCCGCTTACTGCCATACAGGGAATCCAGGGCATGCAGAATATTCATAAAGTTCCTCAGACGGCGCAGCAGGCCTCGTCGACGATTCATCCTGCTGGTGCAACCCAAGTGATTGCGCCCACGAGCCAGCAAATACCACCCCAGACGTCCAACAGCACCGCTCCAGTGCAGATCACCCAGGTGACGACGGGCTGTCAGAATGTTGTCAGCGGACAGCTGCAACAAGGGAATATTGCATTTCATCAATCCGATCCGGAGCAGGAATCTATCTCTGGTATCGTTGCTAATGCTGCTACTATACAGTCTGCAGACGCGACTCTTCTGGAATCCTCATTGGCTGAAGTCACACAGGGCAGCGATGAACATCGTACCCTTGAGGATAATGAAAGGTATCTTCTTTCGCAAAGATATCACAAACCAACAATTATTTTATATATATTCAATATATATAATTATTTAGTACATTATATTTTATTATATAATATATTTTTAATTTATGTGTATAATTAATATACATTATATATAGATATTCATTTTAATTATTTAATATATATTGTATATATATAATATTTAATATACATATATATATATATATATATATATATATATATATATATGTATATATATATATATATATATACACAACAGGGTTGGGTAATAGTTAATTAGTTAAAAGTTAAAAAGTTAATAACTTAGCTTAGTTAATTTAAAATGTATTAATTTTTAACTTTAACTAGTTATTTTTTACCTTAAACTTATTAACTTTTTTTCTAAGTTAAATTTCTTTTATCTCTGAATACTATTATCGTTTTTTTATAAGTTATAAACGTATTATTTTTAAAATAAAGTATTATTAATGTTTATGTTTATTTGTCATTAATTGTAAATATCAAAATATATTTCTATATAAAAATCAAAAGTTCTTTGTTATTTGTTATTATAAATTTTAAAAGAATTGACAAACAAAATTCTAATTTAATATAAATAATTTTAAAAATTAACTTTTGATTTAACTTCAGTTAATTTAATCTTAACTTAACTTTAACTGTGAGTTAATTTTTTGTTCATGCAACTTTTAATTTAACTAAATTAATTTAAGCAATTAATTTTAACTTAACTTAGTTTACAAAAAATTATTAACTTGCCCACACACATATATATATGTGTGTGTGGGCAAGTTAATGATTTTTATATTTATATTCATTTTTATATTTAATATATATATGTATAATTATTCAATATATTTAATATAATATTTAATATACATTATATATATATATATATATATATATATATATAATTAAAAACTATACATATATTTATATTAATAAATTTATATTGTAGTATGTCAGGGACAAGCGCTGTGGCAATTGATAACAAGATCGAACAAGCTATGGTAAGAGGCTTTTAATAATCAAGCTAACCCAAGTAGTAAATTGACATCATTATACATCAAAATGACGTTATTCGATGTCTAATGACATTATTTTAACGTTTATGGCGTCAGTTTGTTACCTGGGACTATAATCAATCTTGTTAACTTAAAGTATGATAACAGTTGGAATATATAATATAATCTTTTCTAGGATCTGGTGAAGAGTCATTTAATGTTCGCGGTACGTGAAGAAGTGGAGGTGCTGAAAGAAAAAATAGCGGAACTTATGGATCGCATCAATCAATTGGAGGCGGAAAATTCGATATTAAAAGCGCACGCAACTCCAGAAACTTTGGCCCAATTAAGCCAAGCGACAGCAAAATTACCCCAAAACAGTTCAGGAAGTGGTCAATAGGTAACCATACATTGTACATAAGTTTCTATCTCTCTCTCGATACTTTTGTCAAGTAAATAATTGATAATATAATTATTGTATATAACTCTTTACGAGATTTTTAGAAATTTATAAATAATGAGATTTATTATATTATATATAAATATATATTAGCATTAGACTTTTTTTTAAGTAAATTAAAGATAATGGATTATTTTTTACTATTTCAGTTTACCATATAGGAAAAAATATATTTAAAACTATAAAAAAAACTTGAATTTTTTTCTTTTTTAAAATAATAAATCATTTCGAAAATATATATTGTTATAACACTCTGTGCGAAAAAAAGAAACATATACCAAAACTAAGCAGCGCTACAAACAGAGTTTATATAATTTTATATTAGAAACATGATTTCAATGCTAAAGGAAAAATAACAGTACAGCGAAATAAGCAGCTTGACATTCCTAGATTATTTTTCTTATTGTTTTAACGTTTAGTTAATTTAAATTACAAATATCAAATAAAAACACATGTGTACACATACACACAATGTAATTAACAAGATAAAGAGATTAATATTTAATAATATTTTGCGGTATTATTTATATACAACTGTTTACTTGTTAATAATTCTCTAGCTTCTGTGTTGAGACTGAAATACATATTGGTCGAAAATCTTGTCATCCTGTTGAATATTAAATCTCACATTTTATAATCTGACATTCATTTGTAGTCTTTTAAGTTTTACATACATACATGTATGCATTTCATATATATGTATATACAATACATAAATTTTATATATATATATATATATACATACATATATGACACACATGTATATATGTAACTATATGTTAACTTTATTCAAAAAACTTACTATTAATATACATAAAAAATTCAGTTTCTCAAAAAAACGTTGTCATTATTTTATGTTACATTTTAAAACTGCATAATAAAAATATTTTTATCACAATGTGAAAATTATTAGCGAAATGAAATAACTTTTATGTGAAAACATTAAATAGAATACATGAAATAATATAAAGACATAATTAAAATTACGTAACATAACAATTTGTTAGATTATTATTATTATTATTAAATCTGCTTTGAGTAGAAAATGCGAAACGTATATAAAGTAATATACATGTATATAAGGTAAGTAATTAAAAAGTCCTCGTATAATTTTAGAGAAAACTTTATTTGTTCACTATAAAGAGAGAAAGAGAGAGAGAAGAGAGAGACTAAATAAGACATTTTATATAATATAAAGTTCTCTCCCTATTTACGAAGATAACTATTTCTTTCAGGAACAAAAAAAATCATACGCATAATTACACCTTTTATAAATTTATAAATGTTAAAAATTTTTTTCTAGAGGGGAAAAAAATAACAACATATACAACTCCGGTATCTTGTATCATCTCATCAACAACTGTCTGAATCTCCGTCTTGCATTATATATAACACATAGTCGACGCAAGATATTATAAATTCATACGAATCCGAAATTTTTTGATTTAATAGCGAGAAGCAGCTTGTGCCGTAACACATGACGAGAGCTGTACAGCGGAACATATAATCGGGAAATACATGTATTCGCGGTTGGCAGATGCGCGTCGTCCGCCGGCCGAATTGTTACGGTCGGCATCGGCTGGAAACCGTCCTCGCTTGCGGGCAGCGCGGGAGAACCAGTCCAAAAATATACCTATGGACATACATATGAAGATATAAATTATATTATACAATGACAATTTATTTAATTACATCAGTTTACAAAAATTCTCATTATTTTAACCATGTTAGGAAGGTTTTAAAAAACTTCTGGCTTCTCGCCAATCATATTGAAATTGTGACGTCAGAGGTGAAAAAACACGCGCTAAAAATTCTTAGATGCCATTTCGAAATAAAAAAATATTTTACACCGAATACTGCGAGAAATCCATATACATATGTAAAAAATGGAAGTTTAAAAAAAATAGATTGACTTTTAAATGACCTTGACAGATAGGATCTTTAAAAGACTTTGAAAAATGCACAAGATCAAATCAATCTTATATCTCTCTCGAAGTCGGAAAACTTTTACACGAAACATTTTTTTCTAAAATCCCATGATTTCTAAACATTTAAGGCTTCTGAATCCTCATCCACCATTGAAATTGTGACGTCAGAGGCGAGAAAATTCGGGAAAAATTTTTAGATGCCATAATAATAATCCAAATATCTTTTCATTTAAAATTGGCATTTAAGAATTTTCAACGTGTGCTTTCTCAACTCTGACGTCACAATCTATAACATAGTCGGGGCGAGAAAATCGAAAAGATAACAAAATAAAAAAAAATACATTTTATAGAAGATGAACAATACATGACATCTGATCCAAATTTCCAGATAACGTTAATATTTTTCACAAAAAAAGAAAAAAAAAGCCTTTTTTTAAATTAAACCTCGATTATTTCGAAAACCTGACGTGGTGTTGAAAAATTGGTTTGCAGCAGTTTTTTTAGCACCCAAAAATCTATAAGAAACGCCTTGTCTGCTTTAAAATAATGAAAAAAAAAAATATATAAATATATAATATATTTGTAAACTAGTGTAATTAACAGTGCACAAAAATTCTCACCAAGTCCTGCCTCTCTACGTGCGACATTTTCTCAACGATGGACCATAACCAACGTTTAAACTTCACCAATCGTTCCGTCGACTCGCCAGATTCGTCATTGAATGACGTATACGATATCAGAACCGACACGTTGATATCCCCGACTCCGTTCAGGAGGAGTCTCAGGTCTTCGGACGTCAGACCATCGAACGCGCCGTCGGGGAGGACGTCGAACACCCCGTCGCGCATAGCATGCAGAGCCTTCTCCTGCACCTTGATCATGCGAACTTCGGCGTATTTTCGCACATAATCGTACACATTGTTCGCAGTCACTTCAATGTCGCGGCCGTTGGATATCAGCTCGATTGAACCGCCGCCTTCCTCGGGACACAAATCAATACTGGAATGCAAAAAAGAACATTTAAATTACATATAAAATTACTTGTAATTCTCTGACACAATTGATTTTATGTTTGCTAATTTGGGGGATCCCTCTCGATTTCTGTTTTATCGACGCAGTCGTATATTTTCGTAATTCTATAGTATATCTTTTTTTTAATTTGATAGAATTCTCTACAATTGCAATACATGCATAAAAAATCCCAGGAAAATTCGATTTGATATAAAAAATGAGAAATAACAGTTTTTTTTAATCTATTTTCATCTCGATTTGACATCTCGAATTGCAGACGAACTGTCAACCTCATCACAATATGTGCTTTATACTTGTACGACTAAAAATGCACATTCCCTGAGATTAGAGGACACGAAAGAAAGCACTGTTATCCTCTAAACCTAGATTAGAAGTCTAATAAAAATTTGTAATTAGAAATACGATTCGTACGTATGTATGCATGCGTTGTGTATACGTGCACATGTTTTGGATATGTGTGTTGCTACTTTGTCGGAGTTTGTTATTTGCTGAAATCTTATAAATAAATTCCACGATTTTTTACTTTTCTTCAAAATTCCAAGTAAAATTAAAGTATTTAAAAAAATGTTTAATACAATTTTGAATTAAGTATATTTTTGTTATACATAATTTTTGTAACAAATAAAATATTTTTAATGATAATAATATATTATATTTTATAATAAAATATATTTTTTAATATACTTTATACAAACCTAATAAATTTTATATTCGTTAAAGATATCTTTGAAAATAAAATCAAAGGGGCAATTTTTAAAAAAATTTCCTTTTAAAATAAATTCTATGAGTATTCCAGAAGTTTTCCAGGTAGAAAAAATTCCCTGAGAATTCTAGGTTTCCCAGGTTTTTCGCGGGAGTATACACCCTGTATAATTTTCAAAAATGTTTGATACTAGAATATATAAAATTATACCTGAATGTAAGATCCAACGCCGAGAACAAACTATTACTGTCCTTCGTTTCAGCATCGATGACCAGTTGTCGCAGACTTTCATAAATAACAGAATCGAAAAATGCAAGATCGTGAAAACGTATAGGCCTTCCTAGGATATATTTAATTACATGACGATTTAAAAATAGTGGGCAAAGCTCATTTTGTAAGAGGCACAATCCTATAAGTCTGAAACGAAAAAATATAAAACGAATTTCAATTTATTATATGCGTCACAATATATTTTTTCAATATATTGAATCGAGCACTTGAAAACTCACCTTCCTACATTCCTGAACGCGTTTAATCGTTCGTAGCTGCCTCTGCCCTGTCTTGGTGTATAAAAGCCGCGTTTACCGGGGGAATAAAAAAGCGGAGCATTGTCCTCGGTGTCGTCTAAAATGCTATTTTCCATTTTCTTCTTATTCGCTGCGCAACGCTCGGTTAAGCTGAATACATCGAGATCTAGCATTTCACTGGTCAGGTCTTGAGTATGACTGTGAATCAATTCAAATGCCTCTTCCACTTTCAGCCGGAGAGCGTCCTCCGAAGCCAAAAGCATCAGCAGTTGGGCCGGTGACAATTCCAACAACATACCGGTTATCTTTTCAGCTAATGCTGGCCGTAAAGCGTGTACCTGTTAATAGACAAAAAAAATTATAAAATGAATATTACTAAACAAAAAGTTTTTAACATAGAAGAAATGTTCCCTATTCTTTTCTAATAATTTTATAAATTATTTTTATAAATTTTTAAAATTATAAGCAATAAAATAGTTCGTGTTTTTACAATGCAAATAGTAATATCAAATACAGGACCAATGTACGAGCAAAGAATCGAGTGTCATATATTAACACTGAGGAAGACTAAGTAAGTCGAAACGTATGTATATGTATTTTATATTTAGTAGACATTATTAAATAGTCAAACACTTCTTAGTAACATCATTTTTATGACACCCAATTCTTTGCTCGTACATTGATCCTGTGTTTGATATTACTATTTTTATAAATTATTTATAAAAAAATTTATAAATAATTTTACTTTTTATACATTTTAAATATTTTTAAGAACGTAGATATTTGAGAATCGCCAGACAGAATTTAAAAAAGGTAAAAATCTTCTCTCGACCGTACTGGCAAATATTATTTATTCAATCACAACGTTTCGACCCTTTTTTGAGTCCTTATCAAGTAATTTGTAAAATTAAAAATAAAATTATAATTCTAAGATGTCAAGAACGAACATAGTGTCGATTTGACAACACGTCAAGACTCTTAGACGAGTTATTGGAGACTGTCTCTAATAACTCGTCTAATAAGAGTCTTGACGTGTTGTCAAATCGACACTATGTTCGTTCTTGACATCTTAGAATTATAATTTTATTTTTAATTTTACAAATTACTTGATAAGGACTCAAAAAAGGGTCGAAACGTTGGAGACTGTCTCCAATAACTCGTCTAAGAGTCTTGACGTGTTGTCAAATCGACACTATGTTCGTTCTTGACATCTTAGAATTATAATTTTATTTTTAATTTTACAAATTACTTGATAAGGACTTAAAAAAGGGTCGAAACGTTGTGATTGAATAAATAATATTTGCCAGTACGGTCGAGAGAAAATTTTTACCTTTTTTAAATATTTTTAATATAAAAACCTTAGGATACAATCTGTCGCCGAGCTGCTGTTGATGCATGGTCAAATGATCGTTATTAGGATGATTGATTGGCAAGGGGTGAGTGCTGGACGACGAGCTACCAGGTGTGGAACTGTTGTTTCCTTCAATCGTGTTGGATGGATGGAAGGAACGAGCGTCGAAGGATAAAGTGCGGCGCGTCTCGCGACATTTTCCAGAAGAACGCGTATTCTGAAATAAAATTGCGTATGTAAAGATTAATTAACAAAACACCTTGCATATACAATTTTTATAAAAAATTATATAAAATTACATAAAAAATTATATAAAATTTTATTTAAAAAAATCTAAAAAATTATAAAAAATTATAAAAAATATTTTAAAATTATATAAAATTATATAAAAAATTTATAGAAAAAAATTAGAGACTAGTCTTTTCGACATACTTGTCGTCTGAGATCGCGATCGCGATCCCTGCTTTTCAGTTTCTGCAAAACATTGTATTGCGTGTATTTCGATCCCACTTGTGCCGGTTCAAGATTCGGAAGTTTTTCATTTGCTAGTAATGCCTAAAAAATAATAATAATATAAATCCTGATTAAGAACTTGTCTTACGCTAATTTCATCTTTTTATAAACCTCAGCAATTGCGGTATAAAAGCTTCGAGTGACACCGGCTCCTTCGCCAGGTTCGTCCTTGAAAAAGACCTTCACTCGATTCACTGCCAAAGGCGGAGTGTTTGAAGCTCTTCTATTATATATATTATACTGCGTATTCAACTCCTTCATTGTCTGCATCAATAATTGCGTTCTGTCTCGTTCCACCTGGCAAACGATGATGATAATTGGTATTCGATAGTGTACACAGGATGTCCAATTTTAATCGATCCCCAAAAACTTTTTTATTTTTTATTGTACAACAAAAGTTGCTTAATTCGAAGAGACAAAAGATAGTGCTACTGACTTTTTTTCTAAAGAGCACTTCAAGGTCATTTGAAGATCATTTACTTTTTTTAAACGAAACTACTATAATTTTTTTTAATGTAAAATCGATTCCTTGCAATTTTTGACATAAAAAGTTATAAAAAAACGTGACCGCAACGAGAATAAAATATAATATAAAATATAATATTTTATAAACTATTCAATTTTTGGCAATCTTATCCTTACAACTTTTTATGCCAAAAATTACAAAGAATCGATTTATATAAAAAGTTATATAAAATAATTTATATAAAAAAAATAGTAGTTCCATTAAAAAACAATGACTTTTAAATGACCTTGAAAAGTGCTCTTTAAAAAAAATCAGTAGCGTCATCTTTTATCCTTTAAATCAAATTCAAAAAAATTTTTGATGGTCGATTAAAATTGATGACACTGTATAATACAGTTACATAAAGTTTAAATTTATACGTGGCATAACTATACATATATACTATGTGTGTTCACCAGACAAATCGTTACCTTGATAGTGATATCCTTTTGCTGGGAATTTCTCAATTTCTCCATATCTCTACGGAATTTGGCCTCCTTCACGGGAAAGCCTCCCAATTCGGACACAACGGAACCAGCCTCCAGGCCTACATCCTCCATAAAGACTCGTCCGAAGAGATCCAATGCCAATCGCCATCGTCCCAGTAAGATGTTGTGCGAGATATTCGTCCCGATCGACGACACCGCTTTCGCGGAATCCACCGGACTCGTCTCGACGGTCTCGTGAGCCGATATCTCGTGACTCGTCGCGGCCGGGTCGACCTCCTCGGAGACGTTTTGACTGTCGATGGTTGGGACAACCAATATCTCGGGCGCGCCGATTTTACTCGTATTCGATTCCTTCGAAGAATAAATTTCCAATTAATATTAGACATAATAAAAAATAGGAAATGGGATAAAAATGACAATGTATTGACTTTTTATGTCAATAATTGCAAGGAATCGATTTTATATTAAAAAAATTATAGTAATTTTGTTTAAAAAAGCAAACGACTTTGAAAAGTGCTTTTTAGAAAAAAGCCAGTAGCGCCATTTGTCCTCCTTTAAATCAAACAATTTTTATTGTACAATCAAAAATAAAATTATAATGTCCTTACCGAGACTGTTCCAGCTCTGACTATGACGCTTCTATTATTTTTGCATACATCTTTGCCTTTGACGCTCGCTGTTGCGTCACTTTGATTATTCGTAGACACTATAATAGGCGCTCTATCAATTTGTTCCGCTACGAGAAGGTGTCCCTCATTAGGATGATTACAGGATTTTAACTTATCCTGAAATTTTATTGTATTAATTTTATTAATTCACACACACACACACACACATATATCGGATGTCCGATGACCCGCGTTTTACACGTTAATGGGAGATTCCTGAGGCGATTTGGAGACGATTTTTCCTCCTCAGTGAAAATGATGAGAAAGGTCATCATTTTTTTAATGTTCCTAATTTTTTAAATCATGTATCTATGTAACTAAGCCTTAAATTAAAATTCTATTATAGTAAACTTTACCTGAAATTAACTAAAAAATGTAGTTTTGTTAATAATTAATTTTTACAAGGCTTAGTTTACAAAAAAACTTTTATTTCCAATCATTTATAACTAAAAAATTATTGGTGCATGGACATTTTTGCTGAGGAAAAATCGTCTCCAAATCGCCTCAGAAATCTCTCATTAACGTGTTAAACGCAAGTCACCAGACATCCTGTATATATATATATATATATATATATGGGTGATTTATTTCAATCTTAATAGGCAAAAAAAATCGTTGAATTTTAAGAAAAATATATCAGGCAAAAGTAAGGGAATATAATATTGTGACTTTAATTGCCTCTTTTGATGTTTTTCAAAATTATTAACTATTATTATTAATTATTATAACTGTTATTATGAATTAAAACTATTATCATTAACTATTAATTATTATTAAGATTAACCTAGTTTTTTAAATAAAATCACCCTATCTTTTTTTATATTCGACATAGAGTAATAAGAGTAGGATAGTCAAAAAATAAATAGTTTACGAGATATTTTATACTTTATACTTTATTTTGATATAATTTTAGAAAAATTATAAAATATTCATTTTTCGATGATTTTACCTCAATATCTTTACGCGTACAATAATGAGGAATTAATTGTTGTAAAGAAAACACATAGTTGTTTTTATGAAAAAATATAACTATTAATTGCAATTTATATATTTTTCTTAAAAGCACTTGTGTTTTCTTTACAATAATTGATTCCTCTTATTATTTTATGCATGAAAATTATTGAGGTAAAATGATCGAAAAATGAATATATTGTACGATATTTTATAATTTGTTTAAATTAAAATTATCGAATTGTATAAAATATCTGATAAACTATTTATTTTTTGGTCATCTTACTTTTATAACTTTTTACACCAAATATTGCGAGAAATCCATATATATATATATATATATATATATATATATATATATATATATATAACGGATCAGTTCCTTTTAAAAAAACCTAGGTTGACCTTTAAATAACCTTGAAAAAATCTAAGAATTTTCAGCGTGTGCTTTCTCGTCTCTGATGTCACAATCTAACATAACCGAGGATTCAAGAGCTTTAATTATTCAAAATAAAACCTGATATACTTTTCCTAAAGCTCTCGTTCGTAAGATATTACCATATATTTGGTAGGATTTAATTCTCCAGTGGAGTTTCTTCTCGATTCTAAAGTAGCAGAAGCGGAAAGCGGTCCCTGCACAACCTGACTGAATGTCGGAGCTGTCAGGTTGTTACGATTATCGGTACCCCTTGCGGAAAGACCCAGTCTCGTTGGCAGACCTTCCAAGGAATTCTGACCGCATCCACCTGCGGCGGAACAAGCTGGCTGCCTCGGGATGCCGAAGAGATCTTCGCGTCTCGAGTGCGGCTGCAATAAATGCGGCTGATCGGCTAACGGAAGCGCTTCGCCTATCACGGTGTCGAATGGATCTAGAGGCGGGCAACCAAGGCACAAGGTAGAATCTGATCTTTGTAAGAAGGGATGTTTCCTTCCTTTCGGCGGCGAGTTGCCGTGATTTCCAGATCCGCATATGGGTACTTGAAGTAAATCCGGATAATCTACAGAGTCTGTTTCCATGGCAGTCGGTGCTGGAGAGTTGTATTCCTCGCCCTCGTCATTATCATTTTCATCCTGCGAATAAAGAATTGATATATCATTATCAGAATTTTTTATTTATTCGAATCTAATAAAAAAAATTAAATTAAATTAAAAAAAAATGGCCATAAAACTACTTTAACACACCTGATCATTCCAACTGGAATAAGTGGACGATTCTTTCTGAGTCTCGCTTCTGGAAGAAAGAGGCTCCGAAAGAGAGCGCATATAATATACAAGCGCATCAAATACATAAGCGACGTGTCTTAAAGCCGAGACGTCCAAAACCGGTAAACTGTCTCTGTGTTCGCTGTTGTGAGCGCGCATTAAAGATAGGCAATATGATAAGAATTCACGCCTCGCCGAGTGCGCATCGCCACCTAAAATATATTGTAAAAAAAGAAAATATATATATATACATATATATGTCGGAACACCCCCAGTTATTTTGAAAACATGACATTTTATAAAAAAATATTTCAGAAAAGTTGTGTGGTTTCAAGTAAGATAGCGGCAAAATTTTGACCTTGGATAGTCGTTTGAAAATTATACAAAGGTCACTTTTAATTTCTTAAATGGAACCTACTAGTTTTCACTGCATGTTCTTATAGTTTATCTCGAGAGCTTCTAAAACATTGTAATAAAATATTTTTCTCATTTTATGTAAAAAATTGTTGGCTTCAAGCCTTATAACTTAAAAAGTACTTAAGAGAAAAGTATTTTATTATAGTGTTTTAGGAAGCTCTCGAAATAAGCTACAAGAATAATTAAAAATGTAATTAAAAAATAGGGGTTTCATTTAAGAAATTAAAGTAACCTTCAAATAATTATACAAGGTCAAACCAATGACACCATCTTATGTCCTCCTAATATAAAAAAAAACTTTTGTTTGAAACATTTTTTCGTATCTCAGTTTTCGAAATATTTGCCTAGAGCAATTAAAATGAATCACCTTGTATATGTCCTATTTTAATGTCCCACCCCATATACATTTTTATTTTCGTAGGAAAAAATGATTATAGAAAAAAATGTTTTAGACAAAAAAATTATATTTTGTCAAAAAATGATTAACTTCGAACCTTTATAATTCAAAAAGTACTTAATGAAAAAAATTTATTATAAGGTTTTAGAAAGCTTTTCAGATAAGCTACAAAAATATGCAATGTGAAGTAGGTGGTTTCATTTAAGAAATTGAAGATGGCCTTCGCATGACCTCCAAGCAACTATTCAAGGTCAAATTAATGGCACCATCTTGTCCCCCTTGAAACCATACTACAATTTTTGTCTGAAACATTTTCTTCTACAATAAAAAATAAAAAAAGTTATTTGGAGTGGGACATTAAAATGGAACACCCTGTATAGGTGTACAAAAAGTGCTGAAACCTCTTAATTTACAAAAACTATGCATTTTTAGGGATCTCAAGGGATCTCTTTTCAACACTTTTTGTACATCCAACACCCTGTATATCTTTAGTCTGATATATAAAAAAATATATAGCGATGTTAAAGACACTTATAACTAATTACAAAGCGAACCTTCGCGTTCCCTACTGCTCCTCGGAGGCTCGCCAACGCCTGCAAAACCAACGGTGAGTCGCGTTGAAGCTTGAGGAGTGGAGATATTCGAGCTTGTAGAGATATTGCCACGGGGGTTCCGACCTGTATTTCCTTGCAGAGTCAACGAGAGCGCGGCTGTGTTCAATAAACCGCTAAAATTACCGCCGGACAACGACGGGGTGTTATTGAGAGGGTGTTCGGGATGAGTCGGATCCGCGCTACGTGTCAGAGATACTCCAAATCTCAATTGCGCCTCTGTAGCGTCCATTACCGTGAGCAACCAGTCCCAAGTAGGCTTCAAGTGCGCTTCTAAATACGACTGTGGACGAGAGAAAAAACAATTTGCGTCACAAGGCCAAACCAAGGTCGCACTTTATGACTTGGCTCTCTTTCTCGTCAAAGGCTACTGATAAACTTAGGGATCGAAAAAAATAGATTTAAGTCTACTTGAAAGTAATTCTAAAGGATTCAAAACCATGTAACATACGAGCCTCTTCATGACACTTAATTTCATCGCTAGTGAGAACTGAAATATAAATTGGAGCTTATGGAATACCTGTAAACTTAGAGCGTCCTGAAAGGTGATGTCTATCAATCGTGGCAGGGTGGGCGCTAGATTCTTATAATCCTGCATAATGACTAACAGATCGGCGATTTGTCGAATAACAATTCCGAATGCTCGCGCCAGACAACTTGCGGTGGTCCCCATGGTTATAGGTTCTTGCGCAGTTGCGACGGCCGATGTGGCAGTGGTACGTCTTAAAGATGCGGGGTCAATGAAGACCAGATTACTCCCACCTGTTACGCGTAAACCCGCTGTGCGCGTATTCGACTCGCGATTGCGTATCGCCCATTGCATGTACACAGGTGCAAGATTGTTACGATGCAAATGACCGGACGATCCGCTGAAATAATGTATGCAAGCCATTATTATACATACAAAGTATGCATCTCATTTTAAAAGAACCAGGCAAATGTCTCAAGAAATATTAAGGATACGGAAAGACGTTTCAGCGAAAAATCGTTTGGTTCGAAAAGAAACATAAGATGGTGCCATTGATGTCACCTTGGATAATCGTCACCTTCAATTTCTTAAATAAAAAGCCTTATTTTTCAATGCATATTCTTGTAGCTTATTTTAAGAGCTTTTTAAAACATTATAAAAAGATGATGTCATATTGATATGACCTAGAATAATCATTTGAAGGACACATAAAAATCACCTTCAATTTATTAAATTGAAAGCCCTGTTTTTCAATGCCTATTCTTGTAGCTTATCTTAAGAGGTCTTCAAAACACTATGCTAAAGTTTTTTTCCGATAAGTATTTTTCGAGTTATAAAAATTGAAAAAGATACACTATTTTTTGACGTAAAATACAAAATATCTTGTAAAACATTCTGTTTTCGGTAATCTTACCTTAATAGTTTTATGCACAGAATAATGACACCAATCAATTGGTATAAAGAAAACGGCATAAATGTTTTTTTAAGAAAAAATATGTTGCAAATTGTATACATTTTCTTAAAAATGTATAGAATTAGCGTTTTTTTTACACCAATTGATTTGTCTAATTATTTTATATATAAAAGTATTAAGGTAAGATTAACGAAAATTAAATAGAGAATTTTTGTAATATTGTCTTTCACATGCGCAATTTTGTCTTTCGATCCAATAACGAAATTTTAGCGTTTGCTGTATCTGAAAGACGGCATTTGTTGCAAAGCGAATAATAATATAGCAATTTCAAGAGGAGACGTTTCTGCCGTAGATGAAACGGAAGGTGGAGAAGGTACAAGGAATTTTTTTATTTATAAAAAATACTAAAAAATATTAATAATAAGATGGTATCATTGATGTGACTTTGGATAATTATTTACAGGTCACATGAAGATTAGAACTCTAATATTTTACAAGATTATTTATATTTTATGTGAAAAAAATACTGTAAACTTCAAGCACTATAATTTGAAAAATACAGAATAAAAAAAAAATACTTTATTATAGTATTTTCATTTAAGAAATTGAAAGTGACTTCATGTGACCTCCAAATAATTATCTCGAGTCACATCAATAGCATCTTATCGTACTTCAAACAACAACTTTTGTCTGAATGGTTTTTCCGGATCTTTCATATTTTTTGAGATATTTGTCTAGCTCAAAATTTAAAATGAGACATCTTGTATACTTTTTCCCTTCCCCATATTCAGGATACATCATTCTTTCGTTCCGATTGTTCACGAATCATCTTATATGGTACCGTTATTATATCGATATACATATATGTATAGTAAATGTATAGTAAGAGATGCTTGATAAAAGATATTGGGAATAGTTTTTACCTTCTGCGTTCTAACTGTTCATCACCAATTTGGAATTCCTCGTTATCTTGCTCGTCCGTTTCTCCGGCTTCGCTTTCATCGTCCTCCTGTTGACTCGACTCTCCCGATTCGTCTTCGGGAAACAATAATATCGAGCCCATTCCGCCGTCGGAGCCAGCAGTCGCACCAGTCTGAACGCTACGTTGCGCGGACGCTGCGTCCTGATTGCTGTGATTGTCGTCCGAATCGGATTCAGTTTCCGCTTCCGCCAAGAGATCCAGTTCCGTATCCGATTCACCATCTCCGGCCTGTTCCTCACCTACACCGCCGACATTCGAATCTACCTCGCCAAGTGGTTGACCAGCAGTGGTTCCGGAAACACCTGATTCCTCGTGTTCACTAATATCGCCATCCATATCCATGGGCATTTCTATAAAATAAGCATAATAAGTTTCGAGAGAAAAAGTAATTATCTTGTTGATTGTGTTAAAATTTAATCTTGAATTTAACTCAGGTCATTTTTTCAAGGTCATTTAAAGGTTAACTTAGTTTTTAATTGGAATGATTCTAATTTTTATCAAAAAAATTATGATATATATATATCATTATAATTTTATATATATATATATTAAAACGCATTGAAAAATAGGGCTTTCTATTTAGGAAATTGAAGGTAATCTTCATGTGACCTTCAAATAATTATCCAAAGTCACATCAATGATACCATCTTATTATTAATATTTTTTAGTATTTTTTATAAATAAAAAAATTCCTTGTACCTTCTCCACCTTCCGTTTCATCTACGGCAGAAACGTCTCCTCTTGAAATTGCTATATTATTATTCGCTTGTTGCGTTTGTAACGCTGCGTCTAATGATTGTGAACTAACACCGCTGTGAGGTATCAGAGGCTCTATGGAGAATAATTCCTCCGAGCCATTTATCACTTCGATGTGGGAACTTGTTAACGTAAACGGCGCGGTTGGACGTGCTACGCCTAATCTGACTGGTGCTATTAATGAATCTGCTGTCTCGCATAGTTCCTCCACAGCCAATTTGATCAGTGCTTGGAAAACTTTTCGACACTTCATTAAAGGCTGCGAGGCTTGATTCGTGCTGTAAAAAATATTAAGCAATTTTTTCAATATATTTTTATACATATACACACGCATTAATTATAAAAAATCTTAATCTTTAAAAATATTTGAAGAAAAGAGAAAAATTTATATGTACATAGATATATAAGTCTTAAAAGAAATACGATAAAATATACAAACTGTCCCTTTTTTAATTAATATAATCAAAAATCTCTGAATTATAACTGTTTGTGTAACAAGAAAATATTTCATACAAAAATTAAAGAATTTCGAGAGAGAAAAAATAATTATCTTGTCTTGAAATTTAATCTTGAATTTTAGCTCAGGTTATTTCTTTCAAGATCATTTAAAGCTCAGCTTAGCTTTTTTTTAATTAATTCCTTGCATAAAAATATTATAAGGCAGGATGGCCAACAGTGAGTTTGAGATATTTCGTATTTTAATTTGACATAATTTTACATAAACTACAAAATATAACTACATAAATATAAAATATTTAATTTTTCTTGATGATTTTAATGTCACTACTTTTATGTATAAAATAATGAAAGGAATCAATTGATATAAAGAAAACAAATAATTATTTTAAAAAAAAAATATTATAGCTACTAGTGTCAAATGATATACATACTTGAATTGTGTAAACTTATATTAAAAAATAAGTTACAATTCAAGAATATCAATTTTTTTCAAAATTTTTAATTTTTATCAAATATTTTCTTGTTATATAATCGTAGTTTGAGATATTCAACTATATTAAAATTAAACCGAGACATCATGTATAAAAGCATAAATATTAAAATATTTTACCTTCGTCTTTTCGTCGTGTTCGGTGCCATTTCTATAGTGAAAATAACAAATATACGTGCTACGGATCTCACAAATCGACGCGCTACGTTATTTGCCTCTTCCTGTCGTCCAGGCACAGACTCATCTTGCAATTCCCTGATCAGAGTAGTGAGCAACGTATCCAGCATCTGTCAATATTATAAGATTCGTTAAGATATTCTGCATAACATCTACACAAATAAAATACCTATACTAAAAAAAAATTGCAAGTTGCTCGATTTCGCTTTATACATATAGGGTGTCTCAAAGGAAATTGCTGAAACTAATCAGCTGTCATTTTTTAATGCATGCAGTTATTGAGAAAACAAAAAATGTGTTGGAAGAGGAAAGTCTGTAAATTTTAATGGATGTAAATAAAATTTTTGTATACTAGTTTATTTTATTGATAAAAAGTAATGGAAAAAGTGCTAATAATTACATAAACTAATGATAAATGTTTTCAACAGTGCCAGATTTAATAGCAGCTATTAAAAGGATCGTCAATAACATTAAAAATGACATATTAGAAAAAGTTTTTACGAGTTTTCGTAAAAGAACAGAATTTTGTACAAATTCAAATAGTGCGCACTTCGAAAATATTTATCATTAGCTTACTTATGTGATTATAAGAACTTTTTTTCAATAAAATAAACTAGTATACAAACATTTTATTTATATCCTTTAAAAACTGTAGACTTTCTTCTTTTCAACGCACTTTGTTTTCTCACACACACACACACACACACACACACACACAAACTATATGCTATATTAAAAAATAACTGATTATTTTCAGCAATTTCCTATGGGACACCCTATATATCGTTTCACTTACTTCGGCGCTACATTTAATAAGTAAGGAATGCGTAAATTTGTCCAGCAATGCAGTACCACTTTGCCGGCATAATTGTCCCTGATCGCCGAATAACTGATTGGTTCCATTTTCAGAAACACCTGACATAATCATACATTGAACGGCTGGCCAGTCGTTCAATAATCTCTCAAGTGCCTTTCGACTAAATCGAGGAGGCTCTAAATCGTGATCCGGCATATCTGAATCCGTACCTAAACCTGTTGAAAAAGTTATATGTGTTTTTTTTAAGTTCATCGATTACATGTATTCTACAAAAATAAGACAATTTTAAACAGATATATTGTTCGTCAAAATTTATGTACACTGTTTTAAATTTTTATTATACAAAGTATCCCACTTTAATTAATAACATGATCAAATATTGAAATTACTGGCTGCAATGAAAAAATATGTCATACAAAAATTAAATTTTGAAGGAGAAAAAGTGGATAATCTTGTATTTTAACTGAAGAACTAAAGATTATTTCTCAAGATTATTTGAAGGACAACCTAATTTTTTTTTTTAATGAAACCATCCTAATTTTTCTTCATATAAATCGATTCCTCGCAATCTTTGGCATAAAAGTTATAAGGGTCAAAAAGTAAATAGTTTAAGAAATATTTTATATTTTTTAATGACAATTTTTCATGAACTATAAAATATCTCGTAAGATACTCTTCTTCAATGATTTTGCCTTAATACTTTTACATATATAAAATATGAGGAATTAATTGGAAGAAAATGTTTGTTATAGCCATAGTTTCATCAATATTTGATTATATTAATTAAAATGGAATATTCTGTATATTATGAACATTAAACAAGGATAATCATTTAAAAATGTTTTTCATGGAAAAAAATTGTTATACAGGATGTCCAATTTTAATTTTACAAGGAATCCAATTTATATAAAGAAATTGAGGTAGTGCCATTGAAAAAAACCTAAACGACCTTCAAATGATCTTAAAAAGTGCTCTTTAGAAAAATGTAGCGCCATCTTCTCCCTTCTAATCAAACAACTTTTGTACGAAACATTTTGTACAATTAATCAAAAACAAAAAAAAACTTTCTGAGAGTCAATTTAAAATTGGATACTCTGTATAAAATTTAAAAAAATACATATGATTTTAAATATTTTTACTTTAAAAATATTATTATAAATATGTATATAATAACACACAAGGTATCCCCCCATTTTAATGTCCCATCCTAAATAAATTTTATTTTTGATTGTAAAAAAAAATGTTTTAGACAAAAGTTGTATGGTTTCGAGAGGGACATAAGGTATGATTACCGAAAAATTAATATTTTACAAGATATTTTATATTTTATGTCAAAAAATTATTAACCTTTATAACTCAAAAAGTATTTAATGAAATAATACTTTATAGTTTTAAAGCTAGGGAGGGAAAGCTCTTGAAATAAGCTACAAGAATGTGCAATGAAAAATAGAAGGTTCTATTTAAGAAATTGAAGGTGACCTTTATGTGACCTTCAAACAACTATTCAAGATCAAACTAATGGCACCATTTTATATCCCCCTCGAAACCATACAACTTTTGTCTGAAACATTTTCTTCTATAATCAAAAAAGTTATTTGGGATGGGAGATTAAAATAGGACTTCCCCCCCCCCCCCCCTGTATAATGAAAGTTGTAAAAAATATACCGTCTGACGTCGGTGCTTTACGACTAGCCGAGGTTGATCTTTGTCTAGGCGCTGATCTAAATTGGCGTTGTTCGACCAATTGTCTTCCGACCGTTTGCACCAGGAATAACAAAATACTCTCACCTCTGATGCAATATGAAACATAATTTATTATTTAAGTAAATTATGTAACATTTATGCACCATGTACAAGGTTCCCATAGAAAATTGCTGAAACTAATCAGTTGTCATTTCTTAATGCATGCAGTTATTGAGGAAACAAAAATTGTGTTGAAAAGAGGAAAGTCTGCAGTTCCTCTAATAGATATAAATAAAATATTTATATATCAGTTTATTTTATTGATAAAAAGTAATGAGAAAAGTGCCAATAATCACATAAACTAATGATAAATATTTTCAATAGTGCTAGATTTAATAGCAGTTATTAAAAGAATCGTCAATAACATTAAAAATAACATTAAAAATGACATGTTAGAAAAAGTTTTTACGAGTTTTCATAAAAGAACAGAATTTTGTACAAACTCAAATGGTGCACATTTCGAAAATATTTATCATTAGTTTACATATGTGATTACTAGCATTTTTTTTCATTTTCTTTTTTCAATAAAATAAACTGGTATACAAACATTTTATTTATAGCTATTGAAAACTGCAGACTTTCTTTTTTTCAACACAATTTTTTCTCAATAATTGCATGCATTAAAAAATGACAGCTGATTAGTTTCAGCAATTTTCTATGGAACACCTTGTATATATAATTCATCAAGGATGAATAAATTTTACCGTGAATTAATTTTCGTGGCGAGATCGGTGCTGTTTACGAGACGACACAACAAATCGTATCTCGCACCTTGATGACCGGCGATCAGAGCGCGACATTTACATTTTTCCCAACAATCACAATACGCTGTGGGAGATGTTATCTTGAGCTTGCAATCGTGGCCTCGGTGGCAGACACGAGCACATTCGGTGCAACAACACAAGGATCCCGTCAAACCGCAAGTTCTACATTCGAAGATGTCCTTAAGTAAAAAAAGTTTAATTTAATTAATAAAAAGATTTTTCAATAACAGGGTGTATACTCTCAAATCTTATAAATAAATTCCATGATTTTCCAGGTGTATTTTTCTTAAAAATTCCAAGATTAAAATAAGATTAAAGTATTTTAGTTCAATTAAGTTTATTTTTGTTATACATAATTTTTTACCATAAATAAAATATTTTTAATATAATAATATAATATTATATTTTGTAATAACATTTTTTAATATACTTTATATAAACCTAATAAATGTTATATTCTTTAAAGATATATATATATATATATATAAAATAAAATCAAAGGGGCAATTTTTTAAAAAATTCCCCGAGTTCAAAATAAATTCCATGAGTATTCCAGGATTTTTCAAGGTAGAAAAAAAATTTCCTGAGAATTCCAGATTTTCCAGGTTTTTCCCGGGAGTATACACCCTGAATAATTATAATTTTTTTTTTTTACATGTAATATTTAAAATACCTGATTAATATGTTCAGCTCCGGTCCATGTAAAACTACACGTGTCATTGCAACAGGTAACAAACAGCGGAGACAGATCCGGACTGGCATCAGCTGGCAGTATCATGGCTGAAGTATCTTTTGCGTCTTTGCCTACTTTTTGTATAGTGTCCAATAAAATAAGAGCTGCATGATATGCACGAACAGATACAGCAAGCATGAGCGGAGTTTGTCCTTGAGCATCCCTTTATACAAAAAAAAAATATGTATTTATATATTAAAAAAATCGTTGATATGAAATGAATAAATATATTTTTCCTTGAAACTTTAATCACATACTTTGCTGTTAACAATTCCTTCAAGTATGGTACTAAAATATTATTTTCACACATATATTTTAATATAAGGAGTGCATTATGTCTCCTTTCAACAGAATCTATAATGTATGTATTATTTGACGTAGTCCCGATATCTAAAATAATAACAGAGAGATTAGAAAAATTTAATTAATTGATTATAATAATAGAAAATAAATTATTATAATGCAAAACATTAAAATTATAATGCAAAATAAATTTAATTACTTACTAGATTTATTCATCATAGATATGCTAGCAGCACCTATGCTTAACAAACTGTCCTCTTCTCCAGATGTGTTATCAAATGCTTCAGGTGGCCAACTTAATGTTGGAATTGGCTCTTCTATAGGTGCAGAAGTGTTGTCCACAGTGTTCGATACTAACTCACGTTCAATGACTTCAAGAAAATGAAATAAAATATTAAATCAAATGTGCAACATGTCGAAAAAAATACGATTCTTATTGTACACAGGTAGTATTAAAATTATTGTTAAATCTTTTACCTTGTTCAGTTTCTTTATTGGAAGTTGGCGAACACATGTTGACGCAAGCATGAAGTATATTTCTATTGCCATCACAGCGTTCTTTTAATATCACTTGGATTTGTGAATTTGCATTCGAATATGTCAAATTGTTCTCTATAAAATAAAAAATCTCATATTACACATATACACATTTTTCTATGGAAAATGTTCATTGCACAGAGAACGTAAAAAATAAATTACACTACTTAAAAAAAGGGGGGGCACTCTTTCTATCCTAAAAATTATGTTATTTTTCAAATCAACAAATTAAAGTAAACTAAAAATTAAATATGCATTTTTACACATTTTTAAAAATCTTTCCGTCCTATGCTTTAAAAAAAAGAATACGTTCTTTAAAATTATGTATTTTTAACACACTAAATTTCAATAAAATATTTTTTTTTCGAAATTTCTGCTCCAATTTTATAAACTACTATATTTTTCCTACAAAATCCTATTTAAAAATTTTTCTGATTTTTTTAAAAATCAAGTCACACAATTTTGTAACTAAATTTCTATTTTTCAGAAAAGATAAATATAAAAATTTTGTAAAATCGACAGCGCGTTAAAGTTACGTTAAGCTTCAAAATGCTTTAATTTTTTTATTATAATCATTTTTCGCTGAGTATTAGCATCATTCCTAAAAACAGGTTTACTTTCAAAATTATGTAACTCAGTCAAAAACAAAATCGTAAGAAAATTTAAAAAATACAACGTTTTGTAGTTAAAATGTTGTAGTTTATGAAATTTGAATAGAATTTTTCGAGAAAAATTTTTGTATCAAAGTGTCAAAAGTACGTAATTTTAAGGAACAAAACAATGTGTCCTTTTATAGAGCAGGAAAAATAAAAAAATTTTTTCAAGCTTTAAAATACTTTTTTAATTTTTAATCTACGATGATTTTTCGAATTTCAGAATTTGAAAATAGCATAAATTTTGGGATAGAAGTTTTTTAAATATTGTATATATAAAATCATATCTATTTATTCTACTTACTTAGATCCTGTTCCAAATTACAAAATACTTGCTTTACACTCTCGTAATCGCATCGCAAGATACGTGGCATGAGCAAAAGATTGTCGAATGCTAACGCAATAACTGCAACCTGGTTCTTCAAGTTAGACGAATTGGAGCAGCTAGAAATGGGAATGGTTGCTGCACCTATACAATTTACTGGCACCAAATCCAGCCAGTTTGGGTCACGTATGGCATCAGCGCAATCTTTTGCGATGGGGTAAATGGTGTTATTACCATCTCGTAAAATCATGGAACACTCGATATTCTGAAGTAGAAAAGTAATTATTTTTTTGCAAAAAATAAAATATAAAAATAAAATATAAAAAAAAATTAAAAAAGAATATTGAAATTATTCTAGCAAAATATTAGACTTATATTATTTTAATCGCAAAGTACTAATTGTCAACATATTTCTCCTCTAGAATAAGAGAATATTATTCTAGTAGAATATTCTTCTATTATTTTAATCACAAAGTATTAATTATCAACATACTTCTCCTATTCTAGAAAAAGTATGTTGACAATTCTACTATAGAATAATATCTTTGTGATTAAAATAATATAAATTTAATATTTTGCTAGAATAATTTCAATAATATTCTTTTCTTATTTTTTTATATTTTATTATTCTATAGTAGAATAATATTCTACGTTTTAATCGCAAGTACTATTATCAACATACTTCTCCTGCACTTGTAAGATTGATATTTTGAGGTTGCAGTCCCAAAAATGACGAAATATCGGATGGAATATAGCGATCTTGAACATATCTTCCTGTACTTAAATTATATACGACATAACTCAGTTTATTTCCACTTTTCAATATAGCATGAATGCCTGTAAATAGATTTTTTTTATTAATCTATATTTCTATACATTTTATTTTAAGGATCCTCGCCGCGATCATGACGTCACAATTCCACGTCGCGCGGTGAGGAGTCAAGAGCCTTAATAGCAATAATAGTACCTTGTCCATCGACAGATATAGTCAACAAACTATCATTTGAACTCTCCATTATGTTAACCCTTCTGGGTGTTCTCTGGAAACAATCTGGAGCCCGTGGATTTAACGATGATTTAATTACCTGTAAAAATACGTATTTAAACGTATTTAAATATATATATATATATACACCCACACACACACACACACACACACACACACACACACACACACACACACACACACACACACACACACACACACACACACACACACACACACACACACACACACACACACACATATATATATATATACACTGGTCAAAAAAATTATCGCAACACGCAATTAATATCAAAATTTTGCGTAAATTCAAATAAGCGTATCTCCGCGAAAAATTATCGTATGTAAAAAAAAATTTTTTCTTTTTAAAGAGTGAAGTCTCTACTTTAAGAAACTTTCCTTCGATTTTGATTTTATCCTCTCCCCCTCTCTCCACTCCTTTAAAAAGTAAGGTGTTTTTTTCAAAAAAATTGCAAAATTTGATGAACTCTATGAGGTAAAATAAATTTTTTTCGTAAATCTTATCTAAATTTTCGTAAAATATGGTCTTTTTTCTACAAATTAAAAAAAGGAAAGTTTGTATGATTCTTTTTGGTAGAGTTACAGCATATCAAAGTTATCTATGCATTTTTGTGCAATTATCACCAGCATTAGCGATACCCGACGCGCACCAACGATGATTGCGTGACAAATTGTTCATAAAGATCTTTCTTACAGAATCAGTGATCAAACAATTAGAAGACGTTAAAACGTGAACGTGGTTTAAGATCGCGAGTTCGACATTTGCCTCTTCTAATGTATGAAAAAAATGTATGATCCATACATTTGGAAAGAAAAATGTCGAATTCGCAATCTTAAACCACGTTCATGTAAACATCTTCTAATTGTTTGATCACTGATTCTGTGAGGGAGATCTTCATTAGCATTTTGTCGCGCAATCATCGTTGGTGCGCGTCGGGTATCGCTAATGATGGTGATAATTGCAAAAAAATGCATAGATAACTTTGATATGCCGTAACTCTGCCAAAAAAATTGTACAAACTTTGCTTTTTTTTAATTTGTAAGAAAAGTAAATATTTTACAAAAATTTGGATAAGATTTGTGAAAAAAATTTATTTCATCCCGTAGAGATCGTCAAATTTTGCAATTTTTTGAAAAAAAAAAACACCTTATTTTTAAAGGGATGGAGAAGGAGAGAGGATAAAATCAAAATCGAACGAAAGTGTTTTAAAATAGAGACTTCACCCTTTAAAACAAAAAAAAATGTTTTCAATTACGATAATTTTTCGCGGAGATACGCTTTTTTAAATTTACGTGAAATTTTGATATTAATTGCGTGTTGCGATAATTTTTTTTACCAGTGTATATATATATATATGTGTATATGTATGTATATATAGGGTAATATTCATTTTAATCACCCTAGGAAAACTACGAGAGATACAAAAAATTAAACAAATTTTTAAACAAAAGTTTTTGACTTTGAGGGGGACATAAGATGGTGTCATTAGTTTGACCTTGTATATTCATTTGAAGGTCATGTAAAGGTCACCTTCAATTTCTTAAATGTAACCTATTTTTTATTACATATTCTTGTAGCTTATCTCGAGAGCTTTCCAAAACACTATAATAAAATATTTTTTCTTAAGTACTTTTTGGTTTAATTTAAAATAATTAAATAATTATTTTTAAAAAAGTATGTAATTTACAACAATGCAGCTGCGTGCTTTTTGTAAAAGTAACTATGTTTTCTTTACACCAATTGATTGGTCTCATTATTCTGTACATAAAAGTATTACGATATGATTACTGAATATTTTACAAGATACTTTACATTTTATGTCAAAATTGTTAACTTCAAACTTTAATAACTTGGGATAACGCACTGTCATCCGCGATTTGGCTCTTATTGCCTATCTTACACTTTAAATTTATATTTATATTACAGAGCCTTGTTAAACTCTTAATTTAATAACTCAAAAAGTACTTACATAAGAGGAAAATTCTTTATTATAATGTTTTGGAAAGCTCTTGAGATAAGCTAAAAGAATATGTAATTAAAAATTGTCTGTTCCATTTAAGAAATTAAAATTGACCTTTACGTGACCTTTAAATGATTTTACAAGGTCAAATTAATATATCCTTCTCAAAGTCAAAAAACTTTTGTTTGAATCATTTTTTCGTATCTCTCATAGTTTTCAAAATATTTGCCTGGGACAATTAAAATGAATCACCCTGTATATATGTATATGTATAAATAAATAGGCATTAGATTATTACCTGTAGCTCGTCTTTACGTAAAAGTCTACAATCTGCTAATAATTTCATTGGCTCTTCTGTTGTAAAATCTTTAAAATCTGATGGACTGAAATCCTTTTCCTTAATTTCCTTCTCTTTTGAATCTCTCGAAAAGAATTTAACCGCTACGTAGCAACCATCAACCTTTATAACTTTCCCTATTAATATAAAATAATATGAAATATATTATATGCAATTTACATTAAACTTTCAATTTTTTTTAAATATTAATATTTTATTGATAGCTGCAAACGAAATAATCATACCAATAGGTACGGTTTTCACATCTTCGACAAAGACAACATCTTTCAATTGCCAATCCTCTTCATCCTTTCTCTCAAATTCACCTTCACTTCGAGGTGTTATACGTTTCTGCCGTTCTAAAGAGATTGCAAAAGAATTTATTGCTAGATACATAAAATTTATTTAAATATTAAATATTTATTTATTTATTTAAAAATTTATTTTTCTGGGCTTAATAACCGAGACGATGGATACAAGATTTGTATTACTATGTGGCATCTCTTGTATGAAATTTTGGCGAATGCATTCGTTCTTTTACTTCTATTTTTAGGCTTACAACACGGGGTGTTATTTAAACATAATGTTAAACGTCGTGACTTCTTTTACCTATATATTAATTTTTTATTTGTATGATTCACATTATTGACATTGTTTCATTATAGTTATAAGCGTTATATAATTAAATATCGCGCTGAAGGTCCGAAATATTGGACCAAAACGTTCGCGAAAAATTTTTACTTAATAAAGGATAAGTGCGAATTACTTCGCTTTGCTCTTTTGGCCTTTTACTCTTCCTTGTTTATTTAAATATATATATATATTTTAAATACATAAAATTATATTTAAATATTAATTTAAGATATAAAATTATTATTTAAGTATTATTTAAAATATAAAATTATTTAAATATACTTATATTAATTTATTTAAATTATTAAATTAATAATTTAAATAAATTAAATAAATTTCCGCAGCTTCTTTTACAATATTTACAAAATTATCTAATTTTCTGACATTTAAATAAATGGAATATCTTACTGTGACTTGTTGTAATGCTGCCAGTATCGCTGCAAGTACTCGAAGCTGGTGACGGTGGTGGAGGCATATCAAGTCTGTCAGCAGTTTCTTTATGATTCGGTTTGTTCACAACTGTTGTGCTTCCGTTTCCATTGGACTCGCGTTTATCAGTGTTTGCGTTAGAGACATGCGAACCAGCAGGTAATATTTTAAATCTACAAGTAGCATCTACATTCCACGCTGCTGATAACAACTGTCCCACTTTTGGTACACCATTAGCTATTGTGAATCCTTAAAAATAATTATTAAAAAATGAATTATATCTTTAAAAATGAAATTATTATAATGTATAAAAAATTGTTTAAAATTAATAAATACATATATTTTGTTCATGAAATTGATAGATCATTTATAAAATTGATATATATTCATATAAAATTTTTAAATATATTTTTAGATTCAATTTTAATCAATCACCCCAAAAACTTTTTTATTGTACAGCAAAATGTTTCAAAGAAAATTGTTGATTTAAAGGAGACAGCAGATAACGCTATTACTTTTTCTGAAGAACGTTTTTCAAGATTATTTGAAGGTCATTTCTTCTTTTTTAATGGAACTACTATAATTTTTTTATATAAATCGATTTCTCGTAATTTTTAACATAAAAGATAATAAAGGTAAGATTAAAGCCAAAAATGAATAGTTTACGAGATATTTTATACTTTAATCTGACATTAAAGTACATAAACTATAAATATCTCGTAAAACATTTATTTTTTTGACAATTTTATTATACAATACTTTCATACATAAAATAATTAAAGATATCTACGAGTGCAAAAAAAATTGTTTGTAAGAAAAAGTGTGTAGTTACTAGTTGCAAATAACATATTTTTCTTATAAACAACTTGTTTTTACATTAATTGATTCCTTCCAATTTTATGCATGAAAGTATTGTGATAAGATTGAATAGATTTATATAAAACAAAATTATAGTAGTTCCATTTAAAGAAACAAATGACCTTGAAAATTGCTCTTCAGAAAAGTCAGTAACGCCATCTTCTGTCCCACTTCTGTTTATAAAAAATAAACTCGTTTTTGGGAGTGATCCATTAAAACTGGATACTCTGTATATAATACTTAAATTATATATGTACATTTGAATTGTTTGTAAAATATATACGGAAGTTTTTTTACCAATAGCTCCTGGTTGATAAACTGGACTATTTTTCATGCATACATGTGTCCCGTAACTGATGTCGCTTGATAAAACAGTAGATGGCCTGTGCTTACGCGATTTTGCTTTGTATTTTTCCCAGAGTTTCTTACGTTGTGCAAATGGTAAAACGCCCCTGAAAGGAAGACATTTAAAAATCTTTATAAAAATAAATAAATAAATAAATAAATAAAGTTATACGGACCACCAATACAATGCACCACTTTCGAGTCTCGCGACAGTGTACAAAGCACATGTATAAAGCGATGCAATTTTATCCAAAGTAAATTCAGTGAAAGCCTGTGCTGGATGCTCAAGACGAGAAGCAACATGGCCTAAGAGTTCATCAAGCCAAGTCGCTACTTTGCCAGTCTCTGTACTAACGGAACATCGAATTGCCGTAGCGGATACATTAACCACTTTTTCTGTTGCCAATGCCAATGAAATAGTTTTCGGATGGTGCACATTCGGATTCTGTAAAAAATATCAATAATACATATTTTGCAAAATATGTAAAAAAAAAATATATATATATAAAAGAAGATATAATCGCATTGTTAAGAATTCGACAAGTTACATCTGCATTTTTATACGGCTCCGATTCTGTCCATTTCCATTGATATAACTGTCCCGATGCAGAAACTGCAATTAGTTCGCTATAAAGTGATGCGATTTGTACAAAACGAGGTACCGGATCGCTGCTGCGATCATGCCACCACTCTAATTCTTCAGATATCCACAGAGGGCTCTGCGAAGCTAATTCCTTCTTCTTATTATCTACAATATAATCAAAATACAAAATTACTAGTCCCATTTGATAGTATGTACACACAATACTAATGACTCAAATAGCAAACTAAAACGTCATTAAATGTCAAAATAACGCCATTTCTACGTTTAATGACGTCATTTTATCGTTTAATGACGTTATTCGATGTCTAATAATGTCATTTTGCCGTTTAATGACGTCATTTGACGTCAAAATAATGTACATTTGCTAACTGGATAATAATTTTGTACAATTTTTTTAAATACCTGAATCCTTTTCCCACGAATCTTTCAGAGCAGTTTCCAACCAACGTCGCGGTCCATAATATTGACGATCTCGCCATCTGCTAAAGCTATCGCGATCTCTGTCTCTTTCATGGGATGAACGCTCGCTTTCTCTGTCGTTGCCTAAACGTCTCGAAGAACTTCCACGACTGAAAATAATAGAATTTTTAAAAATATGTATATATGAGATTTTTAATATTAAAAAATTGTATTCTATATTTTCATGTAAAATCATCTTCCTAGTTGTATCATTAATTATGACAGCCATTTAAGTCTCATCAAGATAAATGTGAAAAAATTAATTACTGTCTTATTCCCGTGTATCCAAACATATCTTCGGAAAACATAGAATCAGCATCGATTATAACTGAGTGCTCATTGCTAAAGCCACCATCCAGTAATGATATAAGGTCTTCTGGAACATAACTGTCTGCTGCATCTTCTGCATCATCACCTTCCTCATCCTCTCGTGACAGAAGGTTATTTACTGCTAAGTTAACATCTAAATTTGTACGCTATAACAATAATATCATGATTAGTTCATTATCTCCTTTGTTACCATCTCATCTTCTTTTGTATAACAATAAGTGTAACAATTTTGTAAGATTTGTATAACAATAACAATAAGTGTAACAGTTTTGTATAACAATAATAAGTGTAACAATTTTGTATAACAATAAGTAACGATTTTGTAACAGTTTTGTATAACAATAATGTAACAATTTTGTATAACAATAACAATAAATGTAACGATTTTGTAAGTTTTGTATAACAATAGCAGTGTAATACCTGTAATTCTCTGATAATCAAGTTACGACTTTTTCCTTGCAGTACTACTTGTGCCTGAGATATCAGATCTTCCGGTACAAATGGCGCTGGCACAGATGGAATCGGGCGTGAACTGCCGCTGCCTCCCCCGCCCATAATTACTCCTGGCGGTCCTATGCGACTACCAGCACTGCTCCCTCCGGCGCTGCTGCCTCCACGAATCGCAGAACTGTTACGCATTATCCGTGCTCGGGAACGTGACATTCCTGTTCTACTACTACTGCTACTATTTCCATTTCCGTTTGGTGTAGAATTTGAATTTCCAACATGATTTTTACTTGTACTGCAACAAAAACATATATATTATATGTATTAAAATGGGACACCCTAATATATAATATATATATAATACATATTATACATATATCATACATGTAGAATTTTTTTATTTTTGATTGTAGAAGAAAATGTTTCAGACAAAAGTTGTATGGTTTCAAGGGGAACATAAGACATATGATTACTGAAATCTGAAATTTTACAAGATTTTTTACATTTTATGTCAGAAAATTGTTAACTTTGAACCTTTATAACTCAAAAAATACTTAATGAAAAAATATATTTATTATAGGATTTTGTATATTATAGGATTTGTAACTTAAAATAAGCTACAAGAATATGCAATGAAAAATAGATGGTTCCATTTAAGAAATTGAAGGTAACCTTTATGTGACCTTCAAGCAACTATTCAAGGTCAAACTAATGGCACTATCTTATAAGATATATATATATAGTACATAACATTAGATATTAAACAATATACTTTTATATGTTTCATGTTTTATATACATTATATACAAATACATATACATGTATATAGATGTTTTTCAATAGCTGCAATAAACTTAAAAAGATGATAGCTCTTGTTAAATTGAATAACTCAAAGTGTCTACTCAAATTTAGTAAAAATTTCCCTGAGAATTTTATTATCTTCCAAGTATTTTTGTTTAAAATTCCAAATAAAGTGAGAAAAATTGTATATATTTTGAAAATTATACATATTTTTTGCAGTATTTTAAAATAAGTTTCTCTATTGTATGCATTTTCTATTAATATTATAAAGAAAGTACCAAGAATACATTTAATATTAATTTATTAACTGTAAATAATTAATTTGAACAATATATAAAATATGCAAAATATTACGATTTATATATAAATAAACACTAAGTATATATATGTAGAAATATAAAATAAAAATATAAAACAAGAAATAATTTATTATAAACATCTTAAGAAACACTAATATATTTAAATATTAATAAAAAATTGAATTTCTATAAAACTTACATGAGACATTGATACTAAAAAAATTTTTTTCAATAAAATCACAAGGAATTAAAAAAAACACTGAAATATTGCAAGGATATGTTAGACATATGTATTTCTTAAGTACTATTAAAAATATTTAATATACAAGGCCTTAAAAAAACTAACCTTAAATCCTTTATAAAAAATTCTATTTGTAATTTAGTAATAAATGCATTATTTTCTATTTTAAAAAACGGAAAAAAGCTAAGTGACATTGTAAAAATAAAACATCTTAAAGAACACAAAATATTTAATATCTATTCTTTTAATGTACACATACAATGTTGCAATACAAGAATAAACAAATCAGACACAATTTTAGAAAAATTCTCCGAGTCTCAATAAAATTCCAATAAAAAAATATCCAGATTTTTTAATGTAAAAAAATTAATCCCTAACAATTCGCGGTTTTTCTTAAAAATAGACACCCTGATCATTTTTGTTACATAAGCAAGTATAGTAACACTGTAAAATTTTCCAGAAACATCCTGCATATATATATAGATTTTTCAATTAAACTACTTTTATTTGTTTTTAAATATTATGTTTCTTTCTTTACTTACTTTCTATTAGGTTCATTTTTACTCAAGTCCAATCTATCAGATAACACTGTAAATGCAACTCGACATACTCTATTGTCCTCTGTAAGAAGAGCGATATGCGTTGGTCCTACCACAACACGCTTTATCGATACTTTTAAGCCATTGAAAGCTGATGGTGTTACAAATCCATATCTATTGATTTTATCTGCTACTTCTCTCAGCCTAAAACAATAGAAGTATAAAATATATAATAAATATGTAAATTGAATAGAATATATGCAAAAATGTTAATTTTAAAATATAATTATTTTCAAACTAGAGAACTAGAAAAAAAAAATATATATATATATAAGTATATAAATATGTATAAATTATTTTGATCTGTATAATTTAGACATATTAAAATAGAAACATAAAATGTAATAAAAATGAGTTTTAAATTATTTTCTTAAACTAGATAATTAAAATATATATATATATATAATATATAAATTATTAATTTTGATCTGTATAATTAATACACATTAAAATAAAAACATAAAATGTAATAAGAATGTCAATTCTAAAATAAAATTATTTTTTTTTTTAACTGAAGTCCTAAAATAAACTAGATATAATTTTGATTGGTGTAATACAATTAAAGCTAAATTTTTTTTATAAAATATATACTTTCTTCGCTTTTTTCTCTTTATAATAATATATGACAATGTATCTCAGTCATTAAATTTTCAATAGGAGCATTAATTATTCATTAATTGCCATTACATAGATTATAATCCTAAATTAATAGCCATATAGCTTCGTTAAAAAAGTATTTAATATGCAAGCATTAAAACAAATTACATCACATTTATAGATTGCCATGAGAAAGTATAGCATTATTTAGTGATCGAAGACGATGATGTACGTTCATATACGTGCATATATGTAAATATAAACGCGATAAAGTGAGAAATAGAAGTAATTGAATACACGCGTACGGTGTAATTATTATAATATATGTAAAAGGAAATATCTCTCGAAACGCTGAAAAGGAGAGAATGTACATACACGATATATATGAAAGAGATACGCTTAATGGAAAACCGATAACGGACGGATTATTTCTCCTACCTATCGATAAGTTGGTCGTCCGTTCCCGGCAAAGGATGAACAACGAAGTGTATCGAAGTCATAATGCCTTAAAATTCATATGTGCCGAGCCGACTGATCGCCCCGATAATTGTCCTTTTTACTGTACACAAAATTTCACTAAACGACAGCAGAATTGATATTCGGCCATGTTTTTGCTCTGTTGTTCCGTGTTCTCAAACGTAGATTTGTAGCACGAGACACTTTACGCGATCCTAAAGGCAGCTTTTCGCGCTTGGCGGAGTTAGTGTCCTTTCTAGGGACACTAGGCGGAGTATTTTCATGGCGGCATTAAGTCTGGCTCACAGTAAGCGATTTAAGATCCTGTACATAATAGAGAAAATATTAGGAATAAATAGGTGCGTTTTGGTAAAACCAAGGTCCGTAAATGGACGACAGGAGGGGAAGGAAGGTCGTCGCATGAGCCGCTATTTTGGGACCACTAAGTTATGTGTGTTGTATGTCGGTGTGTGTCATACGAAGTGTTAATGAAAAAAAAACTATAATTGAACAGCTGTCTGGTGGCTGGATTGGGGCGTCATTTTGGGGCCCATGCTGAAACATCTTCTTCTCTATTATAGCTGCTTAGGCTTCCAGAGAAATAGACCTATACACCATTAATTGTTCATATATATCGGTTAAAAGTCAAATCGTGTTCACAGTACGGAACACAAAGAAACAAAAATTTTTTTCAGACAAAACACGTCTAAACGCGTCAAAGGGCGAACTCCTTTATAATGCTGAAACCTTAGAACATATATACCTGGAAGGGGAATTGCTATTGTTCTCCATGGTAAAAATCTGTGTCCAAGTTGGGTGCGAGAGAGAAAGATAGCTTTTAACCTATGCTCGCAATGCGCAAACGTAGATGACGTCACGGTGACGTCACGCTCACCGCGCCGTTTGAAACTGGAAATGTAATTGGTGCTTTCGCTAATTCGCGTTTGCGCATTGCGAACGGAGGTAACAATCTACCCTTCTCTTTCCTTAAAAACATGGTTCTCTCTCGCACCCAACTTGGACACAGTTTTGCGTTCCTATTCCCCTTCCATATCTATATGTTCTAAGGCTGAAACAATAAATGCGACCATAGACATATAGAATAGACTGCGCCATCCGCTCTTAAAAATGGTCGTCCAGAGTGAGAGAGATAGAACGCGAAGACGGCCATCTCTATCCTTTTCTATTCAGTACCAATCACAACACTAAAAAGAAATGGAGATTGGCCGTCTTCACGCTCTGTCTCTCTTTTTGACTATTACATTTGGTGCACGGATGGCGCAGTCCATACTATATGTCTATGAATGCGACGACCTTACTTCCCCTCCCGTCATTTATCTACGGACCTTGGGTAAAGCTACGTCTACATTAGTCGTAGAATCGTAGATCGTAGAAAATTGATCCAATTAGTCGATTATTCTCCTCACATTCAACTGTGATTGGATCAATTTTCTATGTATGATATACAGGGCAGGCCATTTTAATCTTCGGGCTAAAATTTCTCAAAATCCAAAAGTTTAAGACAAAAATGTTTCAGATAAAAGTTGTATGGTTTCAAGGGGGACATGAGATGGTGTCATTGATTTGACCTTGAATAACCATTTGAAGGTTACGTGAAGGTCAACTTCAATTTCTTAAATAGAACACTATATTTTTTCTTGCATACTTTTGTAGCTGACTTCGAGATCTTTCCAAAACATTATAATCAAATGTTTTTTCATGAAGTACTTTTCGAGTTATAAAGCTTCAAAGCAGTATTTTGAAATACGATATACGATAAAAAACAAACTTTAAATAGTACCTTAAAGGCCGTTCTACAATGGAGTATCATAGGTGGTAATCGTAAGAAATTGACAAACCACAGTCGATTATTTCAAAAATAATCGATTGTAATAGGTCAATTTCTTACGACTACAGCTTACGATACTCCATTATAGAACGGCCTTAAAGCGGGATCTACAATGGCCTTAATTACACGGCACCCTTAATCGTGTTTAATAACATCCGTAGTTGTAAGACTGGCCAATCACAGCCGTTCCCCTGAAGAATGGAACGGCTGTGATTGGTCAGTCTTACAACTACGGATGTTATTAAACCCGATTAAGGGTGCCGTGTAAAAGGCCTTATTGTAGAAAAGCACTTGTGTCGTACACAGTGTGAGTATAGGTTTGTTCGCGTCGCATGCCCCAACATGCTCCTTCTTACTCCAATGCGCTCGTATTGGTGCGCTCCTCGAATTAGACCAATACGAGCGCATTGAAATAAAAAGGAGCAAGTTGGAGCATGCGACGCGAACAAACCTTTTGTGTCGCCTGTGTTGCTTGTTGAAAAGCACCCATTGTAGACCCCGTTTAACACGATACAGGCCGCGCGGCAAAGCGGAGGGAGGAGCGAACGATGACTGTGTACGAATCATGTTCGAAAAATGTTCGTGTATCGTGTTACAGTAGGACGTCTCTTCTCGTCGCACGCTTCTATTCGCGTAGATTGGCCGATCTTTTTAATAACTCAATAATTATTGCGTAAACCGTAAACGGTAGAAGACTTTCCTATTCGGTTTAATTCACTTTACCTGCACATGACGGTTGAGGCGACAATTACTGGACATCCTGTACTACTGTACTATCTATAGCATTTCAGTACAGTATACGTGACGTAAACTATAGCAAAGTACTCCAGCTCGTGCGACCCGTGGGGTGCCGAAAACCTTGCTTCTATACTCGTCTATATTCTTGCTTGTATTTTATACTTTTGGGCGTCGATTGTGTAACTTTTTCTAAAGTGAAAATGTGAAAAATTTCTTCAAATCACACATCGATTTTCTTTTAAAATCAATGCGTGATTGGCGAAAATTTTTCACTTTTCACGTTTCCACTTTAAAAAAAAATCACACAATTGATCCCCTGCTGCCATTGTAGACCCCGCTACTGTGAATACCGGCCTATGAATACGGGCCTATGTAGACAAGCCTTTAACGGAGCTGCATAGCATGACGGGTGAGACGCCGTGGTGGGGAGCCGAGAGAGCTATCTTAACCTTCTCATATATATATATATATATATATATATATATATATATATATATATATATATATATAAAGTTATATATATATATATATATAACTTTAGATAGACGTAGGCGCGGCGAGACGAGGAAACGCGGCGCGGAAGGAAGAGAGTGGTTGTGGGCTTTTGCGTGTGTTCTCCTCGTTTCGCGTATATTCCCGCAACACGGGGAAATAGCGCAGACATACGCGAGCGAGGGGTGTACCTCGCAACCTTGCGCTAAATTCGAACGCGGAAGAAGAGGAAGAAGAAGCGCTTAACAAGAGCCTCTACCCGTGTCACCTGCGTGTCAGATCCCGCCGGTTGCCGCGAAATTCCGAACGAATACGCCTATACATCTAGAGGAAGAGTCTCGTGTCTCCCTCGCGACTCGCAATTGACAGTATTTAGGGCCTCTCGCCAGATATGGTTCCAGCGGATTAACACGTTCCGTGATTACGCAGATGGTCACACGGTGACGTCGAGCGAATAAGTTGCCCGTGATTATTTCTGTTGTATTTATAGAGCGTACTCGGGTATTTATTTGTTTCCTCGTTCGAGTCCGAAGAAATTATGTACGTCCACGTTGGCTGACATGTCCTAACCGTAAGTGACTCATCTGTAGCGGATGACAGGAAGGCGATGAAATAACGATGAAATGGTAGTTGTAAAAATTGGAAAAAAAACAAGAAAGTTTAACATATTCGCGAAATTCCGCCTAACGAAGAAAAAGTATCTATATATATTATTCTATTATATTCATATTTTTTATACATAATTTTATATATATTTATTTAGTATGTTTTTAATATATTTTTATTTTGATATACTTTTATATCAACAATTATTGCATTTGATTTTTCATTCTTGCAAAATATATAAATATATGCATGAAAAAAATCAGATTTTATTTCTATGCAAAAATAAAGTTTAAAGGAAATAATTATTTTAAATTATTATATGTTAATATTTTTATCAAAAAAATATAAAAATATATAAGTTAAAATTGTTTTAAATTTAAAACAAAATTATTAAATTTAGCATGGATTTATGATATCAACAACTATTATTTGTAATCATTGTATACAAATATATTTAGAATTTATATATTTATATAAAATTGTTTAGCTAATTATTTTTATCTGTTAGTGTGTCATTGCGTATCGATTTTCCTGATTAAATTCGTTACAATTGGAACACAAGTTGTAAGGAAAAAGCAACTCAGAATGGAATCAACTATAGCTGGTCGAAGGAGGACTGCCACAAGGCATTCTGCGGAGGATCAAGCATTGGATCAAATAGCTAAGGAGGTATGATTTTAAAATTAAAATACAGGGTGTCTCATAGGAAAGTGCTGAAACTAGTCAGCTGTCATTTTATAATGCACGCAGTTATTGAGAAAACAAAAATTGTGTTAAAAAGAGGAAAGTTTACAGTTTTTAATGCATATAAATAAAATGTTTGTATATCAGTTTATTTTATTAAAAAAAGTAATGAGAAAAAGTACTGGTAATCACATATGTAAACTAATGATAAATATTTTTGAAGTGCACTATTTATACAAAATTCTGTTCTTTACAAAAACTTGTAAAAACTTTGTCTAACATGTCATTTTGAATGTTATTGACGATCCTTTTAATAGCTGCTATTAGATCTGGCACTGTTGAAAACATTTCTCATTAGTTTATGTGATTATTGACATTTTTTCATTACTTTTATCAATAAAATGAACTGGTATACAAACATTTTATTTATATTTATTAAAAACTGCAGATTTTATCTTACCAATATATTTTTACTTTCTCAATAACTGTTTGCATTAAAAATGACAGTTGATTAGTTTCAGCAATTTCCTTTACAACACCCTGTATATGAAACTGTAAGTAACAAAAATATATATAACTTTGTAAAGTGTAATATGCATGAGTATATATAAGATTATATTAAAACATATAAAGAGTATTGGTTTAAATAATAATTAAATATTTTCCAGTAAGAATAGCTAACAAATTATTTTAATATAAAAATTCATGATTAATTTGTTTTATTTATATTCTAATGAATATACGAATAAAGAGAAGCTTTAATAATATGGTGATGTATAAATAATGAACGTATATATTTTTAATAACTGGCTGGATTTTTTATATATACTTTTAGGCAGAAGCAAGACTTGCTGCTAGGAGACAGGCAAGAGCAGAAGCCAGAGAAATCCGAATGCGTGAATTAGAGAGACAGCAAAAGGAAGCGGAGGAGAATGCTGACAGGGTTTACGACATGTGTGCAGGTAGATTTAACATGATGAATAAAAATTAGTTTCATATTTTAAATTTTTATTAATTATTTACAGACTTACAGAACTACTTTCTTTACACATACACATATTAATCTTTTATATAATAATTTATTTGCAAATATTTATCTAATTATAGCTGATGTGAATAGAACCATGAGAATAACTCCAGATCCAGTACGTACATCACGACTTCTTACAAATTCCAATAATTTTCAATCAAGTCGTAGATCTTCAGAAGATTCATTAGAAGATGCAGGATTAAGTAGAGATATTAGGGTATGCTTATAAGTTTTATTAAAGGCTCTAATAATCAGGGTGGAGAAAGTGATTTTGTGAAAGTATCTAGTTACAGTTTTTTCACTGAAAATATAACTAGCTAACAGTTACTGACTCTGAAAAATAACATGTTACAGTTATTACAACTCAAAAAGTAATGAATCGTTACTTTTCAGTTACTTTTTTGCAATGACTATTATATTTTAAATATAATAATTAATCATATATATATATATATATATATATATATATATATTTTCAAGCTTTACTTAATTATATATTATATACTTAATTATATGCTATATTATTTTATATGCAATAAATTACAACTGTTTTAAATTTAAAATGAAAATATATTTAATATATTAAATTAATAATTTGTAGTAAATTAACTTTTTCTTATACAATAATTAATATTATTTACTTAGAATAAAAATTATAGGATTCAGATATTTCAGTTAACAAATTCATAAAATTTTAGACAGTCATAACTTTTCGATAAAATTGTTAGCCTACATTTTAAATAAACTAACTATTAAAACGTAACTATTAAATTAGTTACTAGTTATCAAAAAATGTAACTTATTTAATTACAGTTATTAAATTACAGTTATAGATGCAGAAAAAGGAACAAAATTAAGTTATAGTTACTAAAAATTTAACTGTAACTTTGTTACAATTAACGAGTTACTTTTCAACCCTGCTAACAATAATAATGTGATAATGATAACAATAATAATAATATACATTTCTTCATTACAATAGCTGGAATTAAAAGAATTTGAAGAAAAATTCAGGAAGGCAATGATAGCTAATGCTCAATTAGACAACGAAAAATCATCTTATGTCTATCAAGTTGATTTATTAAAAGACAAATTAGAAGAATTAGAAGAAACAACTGTACAATTACGTAGAGAATTGAGGAAAAGAATCGAGATGCGGAGCAATTAAAACGAGTCAATCAGAAAATAAAAGACGATTTAAATATTTGTCGGGCACAATTATTAGAAAGAGATACACTTATACAAGTATGTATAATTATTGAATATTACTGAAATAGCACATGTAATATCGTTTATGAAAAAATTTCTTATGTATAATACTTATATCTCGTCTAAGAAACTTAAAATATACTTTATAATTTAGGAAAATGGCTTAATTATTGTTGACAATGAAGAAAGTGAAGATGAAGATAATGAAAATATGGAAAATAGATCATATTGTAAAAAAAGGGTACTAGTCAGTACAGAAGCTGCAGAATTATTGGAAACAGCTGGCAGAGGTTCCCTAGGTATATTGAGTTATTTATTGTTAAATAAGATGTAATATTAAATATAATATAATAATTTCTGGTTAGAGAGAGTTTTCATTTGAAGGTAATTTTTTTTAATGGAACTACTATAATTTTTTTATATAAATCAGGTCTCCTACTTTTTGACATAAAAAGTGAGGATAAAATAGCTAAAAAGTGAATAGTTTACGAGATATTTTATACTTCAGTTTTACAATTTTTCAATTATGAAATATTGTAAAATATTGATTTTTTAACAATCTTCAACACTTTCATGCACAAATAACGAGAGAAATTTGGTGTAAAGAAAATATATGTATAGTTGTTTAAAAAAAGTATGTAATTTCCAACTAGCAAATATTATGTACTTTATAAAATTCTTATCTCTGATTGTCATAAAATAAATAAAAATAAATGAAGATAAAGTCTTACAAACCGATATTTGCAATCTTTTATCTCGAGAATATTTCATATAAAAACAACAGAGAGATAAAAAGAATCTAAATCAGGATCAGAGATATTTTAAAATTGCTATATTTTTATTATTGAAAAAATAGTGGAATAAAATAATTTTGATTCTTGATAAAAACCGGAATTTTTATAAGCGCAACAGCTTAAAAATAGAAACATTCATAATAATTATTTCTGGAGAAAAATGTTTCATGTAAATCTATAAAAAATAATTTATGTGAAATTGCTAAAAATAGTTTGAATGATCTATTTACCGTTTTATTAAAGAGAATCTAAGTAAAAATAAAAATTATTTTCTAAATTCTAAAGAGATGAAAGAATTTTTTTCTATCTGGATTTTTTAGCAGGAAATAATATTAGAAAAATAATAAAAGAAGTGAGACTGAATACTTTCTAATGCATACAAAGCTCTTGTATTTGCTTATCATATCTGATCTAATAAAATAAGATTAATTTCTATATAATGTTTATATCTATAACTAAGATTAATTTCTATATAATATTTATATCTATATAATGTTTATATCTACAACTTTGTTTTAGATGTTCGATTAAGGAAATTTGCTTTTGAAAAAAGGAATTGCAAGATGAAATTCGACATTTAAGATTGGAATTGGAAGACACTAGAAATCGCGTGAGATCCGAAAGATCATCTGGCTCAGTATTAGGTTACTATTTGTTTATATCTGTTTTAAATAGATTATATATAATTGTTCATATGTGTATTTTCCTATGAATCATAATATTTTATTTCTATTATTTGAATTTTTGTAATTTATATTGATTAATGTACCTGTTGCAGCAGGTTGCTTATCAGAAAACGATGATATTCAGCGTGAAGCAAACAAATTGTTAGCAGATTATAAATTTAAATTACAAAAAGCAGAGCAAGATATGTCCACACTACAAGCAACAGTAGCTAGATTGGAAAGTCAAGTAATTCGTTACAAATCAGCTGCAGAAGCATCTGAAAAGCAGAAGATGAATTGAAAGTGGAGAAAAGAAAGTTGCAAAGAGAAGTATGAATATTGATTTTTATTATGAATAAAAGATCTGTACATATATCAAAGTAAAGACAATTTACATATATTAGATACATAAATCAAAAATCATAAATTAAAATTTTTAATAATAATTTTAATATTTATTTTATTTTAATAATTTTCATAATTTATTTTAATTATTTTATTTTAATAATAATTAAACATTTTTATTTTCAGGTAAGAGAAACGCAAGCTCGTGTAGAAGAATTGGAGACTGCAAACACACATCTTCAAAACGATTAGACAAACTTAAAAATGCAAAATCGGCCCTTTTGAAGGAGCTTTGACAGAGTGATGTTTGCAGAGATGTACAATGAATGTCGTTTTACTTATATCTTGATTACATGTGCCGTTGTTGCCTCGATATTAATACTACTTAACATTTTGAATTGTAGTTTACAAAGGCAAAGATTGTGTATTATCGTTAACATTTCACATTTGCAATGAACGTCATTCGGACATAGAAAATTGCTACGAGAAAAAGATTCTTTTTACAGTCAAATTTTTGATACCAACTTTATTACTCTCGCATTATAGGAATAGTCTTGCTTTAGTGAAATAACAAGAGGACTTTTTAATGCAATTTATATGTTAAATTTTTCTATAAATTTACAAGGAGTTATGAAGCTAATTCACAACTTTTATATAAATGATAAATAATATAAATAGTGTATTTGTTCCTGTTTTGTTGCAATAAATTTATGAAAATTACTTAAAATTACTTAAAATTATATTTATATATATTTATATATATATATATATATATATATATATATAAAAATGTGTGTGTATTATCTTCAAGTATAAAATATTTATATAATGAACACAAAATGACCAATAATGCAAAATGCTTTTTGCCAGTATTTCAGTGCGATCTATATATTTGTGAAGGAAATATGATATACACACGTTTAGGATAAGAGTATGAAATTCCAATTTCTAAACTAATGTAATTTGTATATTAAATCGAATTACATCTCTAAATTTCAAATGTACCATATGTTAATTGCCATATTTTCAATGTAAAGAATGGTAAGGGTCAGTTAGAACTGCGCAGTGTTGAGCGAGTCGAGCAATTCGCGCATGTGCAGTATAAAGTATTTAATATAATTGGATGTTTTCCATTTTAGTGACACAAATTTGAAGGTATCACTTCATGTACAGCGGCTACCTAGCAGTTTGCTGCTATTGGTTGAAGATTTCTTACCAGATGATGCAAAGAAAGATTTATATGTGATACAATTCGGTTATTGATATGCTGAAAAATTCAAATTCGAACTGAAATGATGTCATTTTGATATCTATAACGGCATTTTGACATCTATGATGCTATTTTAATGTCTAATGACGTCATTTTGACATCTATGACGCTATTAATGTCTAATGACGTCATTTTGACATCTATGACGTCACTTTGACGCTAATGACATCAGTTTGACATCTATGACGTCATTGTGACATCTATGATGGCGTACGCTTACTACCAAGGATAATAAACGAGAATAATCTTAAAAGATATTTGTGTGCAATTCCTACCGCATTTTTGTCTTATTTTTATTTTATTTATTGGTTTTATTATTATTCTTTTATTAGAAACTTAAGTTTGAATCAATAATTAATAATATTTTAATATATAGTCATCGATAATTTTTTTTTAAGTAATAATACATTTCAATATATAAAATAGATAATATACTATTTAAATACATTTTTGTATATAAAAGCTATTAATTTAAAAAGAATATTTAAAATATTAATTTTTTTAGAGTTGCTATTATTAATTAAATTTATTACAAGATATATTAATTTATTCATGAAATAAATTTCTTATGCATATGTATGTACATAATATGTGTATAGTTAAAAAATGACATTTGTTAAATATGAAAATGGAAGGATAATAAATATTTCCATAAACATAATGTTGGGACTGAAATTGTTTAATCATATCTTTGTACATAAAACAATAAAAATTTTACATAAATTTATTGGAAATTACTGTGATATATATACATATATATATATATATATAAACACAGTATATGATGTATAATCTAGCGCTATAATATATGCTTGATACTTTCTAAATTTATTTTTTCTGATACAGATTTATATGATTATGATCAATATTGCAAAAGTTGCATTGTTATTTTTTATGTCAAAATTTGAGCTCCTTGCATACAAATTTACATAGAAACATAAAATATAAGACATGAGATAAATGTATATGTATTACAAATAAATGACCTAACAAATCATATAAATTCTGTTGAATTATGGTGAATTATATCAAAGTTTTCTAGAACCAAAACACTCCAATATGTATTCCAAATTTATATTTCTATGCAAATTTCTGTGCTTTATGCATAAACAATTAAGGATTTTTCTATATTTCTCAACGTTTATTCGCTAATTAACGCAATAAACATATTTTACAATCTTATTATCTAAATTTTAGGACTGTTTGAGTAATTAATATTTTCTATCTTATTGAAGCGATTAATTAAGTGTACTTATCTGTTCAACCCTATATGTGTACATACATACAAACGACATACATGTATGCATACACACTATACACACGCACACACGTTTTATAATAATAATATACCACAAGATGTATTATTAATATAATACAATATCTATATTATTTTTACATTGTAACTTACAAGTCTATAGAATATATTTGTATATTTACAAGAATTTTAAACAATATAACTAAGAATATAAAAAAAAAACATTTATTAGATCATATAAAAAAATCAGATATATTGTCTAATAGGCATATATATATTCGCGTGAAAATTATTGTAAAATTACTGTTGAATTTAATATATGGAAGAATATATATATATTTTCTGCTTTATACATAAAAATGTTTCATATCGATTTATTTCAAGGCCTGCATTACAAATGCATTTTAACCAGAGAGATTATACACTTGTAATTATTAATTTTGATGTTCGAATTCAAGAACAGTAAATGGATATAGTTAGCGTAATGCTTAGTTGTTTCATTGCAACTGACCAAATCCCTGTATCCATCAAAGTAATTTCGAAATTTCGAGGAGATTCTTGACAACAAGATATTCTATTTTTTGTATATTTAAAAACTTACAAATCTAATTTTTTTCTTTTTTTATTTGTAATAAACCATTACAATAGTAATCAACTATATATCTAATGTAAGCAGCAGTATTTTTTTAGCAAATAACGCACAGACATTAATAAAATAAATATATGTAATGATGCTATTAAAATGATCAAAATTATTTCACATAATGTAACATTAATATATGAATTTGCACTTATGTGTTGTCTGCAGTTGTTTTGATATTACATTTTTTTGCTATATGAAATGTATATATGAATAGATATGAAAATGGGTGCATTATTGATTGGTTCTTTATAATCAATATAAAAATAAATTGTGTAATAAAATTCTGTTTTACAGATTTGTATAGGTCTAAAAATGCACAGTACTCCAAGTAAAAAAGTATAGTCAGTTTGAATTTGATGTAATAATTGTAACATCATTTGATATCAACATCAAAAAATGACTTTTGTTACTCAGGACTAAATTTTTATAATTGTGAGAATTTTAATAGTATTACAATAGTATATTTATCTGTAAGAATGTTATATTATATGATTGTAGATGCTTTGTGTGTTTATCAGTTAATTTGTATTTCATGAAATAAAACAATAAATTTGCTCAAGTGAGAACACAAATGTAAAATAAAGCAATTTCTTATACTGGCAGAAAAAAATATGTAATGCAACACACAAAATATGGGAATCTAAAATTTTTCTCTCAAAAATTACACATGTCAAACACAATGAATTTTCAAGTTATACTACAAAAATGGTATATTGTTAATTATCAGATAATCAAGAAAATTTGTATGATTTTTACAGAAAACAACAAAAAGCCACATAAATTTACAGTTAATATAGTTAATAAACAAATAATCATTACAAGTGAGATATGTGTAATAAAAAAATGTATATTTTTGTATGCGCAATATCTGTTTAAACACCATATAAATTAAGACTCCTAGATTCTTGGATTTAAGAATTTTTAGTGTTTTATTTCTGATGAGGAACCAGCCTTGAAATTTTACTGCTGCTTTCATTTGCTTGTACTGTGTTATATGTTAATTATATATTATTATGATTTTTAAAAACTTAGAAACACAGTTAATTATATTTAAAAAATTATGTCTTGTGTGTTTATTTTTCGCCAATAAATTATAAAAGAAAAATTATAATATTACCCAGAAAACATTTTGCACGCAAATACTGTCATTGTATACAAAAGCGACTCATACTACGCAAGCAAAACCTTATCCTGGTGCGTCGTTATAATGATAGCAAATGTTAGCACACTTTGCGCGCGATCTCATCTCGTTAATAAGCATGCAAGATGAGCATATTCAACAAGCATTTTGCTGTCATTATCACATCACTGGCATATTTTTGGCAATTTGATATCCATTAATCCATTTGCACGTGATTTGCTGGTGTATCAAATAATACATAAGTTAACCATTTGCGTGTAATATGTACGACTAAACATATCCCACATGCAAAACTCAGGCAAATCTCGTGCACAGTTTATATGCATAAGACGCGCAAATTTTGTACGCAAAAATTGTTATCTGGGTATCTTTTTAATTATAAAAGAAACATTTGTACAATTGGCACATCTTGGTTATATAGTAAGGAATATCTGAAAGTATAAAAAATGATGGTTATCACTGACTTATAAGTGTTGTGCGTATACATACGTGTGTGTGTGTGTGTGTGTGTATGTGTGTGTATAAACGCACTTGTTTCTTTTATTCATAATTATTCAAGTTGCAATATATACTTCTTACAAATGAAGACCAGAGAAATTGGCCAGAGTAATGCGTTTCTGAATAAGGCTTTTCAATAATATACATCCCAAGTTTTCTTTCTAGAAGAAACAATTTTATTTTTACTTCATATATATTTCTCTCTCTCTCTCTCTCTCTCTCTCTCTCACTCTTTATTTTTCTTCAGCTATATCCTTTTTTCTCTCTTTTTCACTCGTCTTGCTCATTGGCACGCATGTACAGCACAAAACATCTGTATATTATTACTATATATTTGTATATTATTATCTATCAATCTCTTTTAGTGTTGTATTTGTATTCCACAAATAGCTTTGACACTCGAAAAAGTTGTCATTTACTAACTAACTTATATATATATACATGTGTGCATATACTTACATACATATACAAACATATATACATATATATATACATATAAAAAATATGCACTTTTCTGTATAAGATCTAAATTATCTTGTTCTGTCTGCAATTAACGAAACTATTTTTCCTCAGGCGAAGGAATATAATGCATGTAACAGATTTCTCACATTACAATATGCATATCTTATATTTTACCATTTATTTCCATTTTTTAAATGAGATCATATATTTTTTCTTCTATTATATATGCATTTACATACATACATACATACATACATACATACATACATACATATATATATATATATATATATATATATACACACATATATAAGAATGTATAATTTTATTAAAAAATGGAGATAGTGTTGAAATATCAAAAAAATATACACATAAAAAATCTATTACATACTATCATATGTTTTTCTTTTAAAATTATGAAACTGTTTTGAAAACATTTTTTGGTAACTGCACACATATATAATAGATAATTTAAATCACCAAGTGCCTACTTGTATACATGTTTACATATATATGTGTATGTATATGTGTGTGCATATATGTGTATGTTTAAATATCTATTTCTATATATCTTTTGTTTAAATATCTTACTTTACAAATTAATAGTAGGCCATTATTGTTGTCAGGCCATTTATTAGTTATGTGCCATCTTTTGCAAAACACTTATTTAACTGTAGAATAGTTCTGCTGAGGATTTTGATTTGAAGATACCCATGTGTTAAATACATCTCTGAAATAGATAATAAAATATATATGAATATGAAATATAAAGAAAAAAAAATTATAGATCAGAAGTATGCAAATAATCTATAGATCAGAAATATATTGCAATTACTCTGAATTTATCATAAATAATATATAGAATAATATATAGAATAAAAATATATGTATAATATATTATATATATATATATATGTAATAATAATATATATATATATATATATATATATATATATATATATAATATATTATTAAAACTGTTCATAACAAAATGATATTTTCCAAAGACAAAAAGTACAAAAATTAATCTAAAGTAGATAAATTGAATGCAATGCTCACGCAAACCTGCAATGGCTGACCACACATTCGTTACTGCAGTATTCATCTTCCCATTCATTATTAGATATAGCAGGATTGGGGCATCCTTGATGTATACAAGGTGGTGGTCCTTGCCCTGTCATAGCTACCTGTGAAGGATTTACTGGCGACGAACAACTCGATAAAGTTTCAGATTTCATTGATAGATCCTCTTTTATAAATTCTGCTCTAGATGGACTCATATGTATTATTTGTTGCTGTTGCTGTTGTTGCACTTGCTGTACTTGTTGTTGAGGTACCTATAATTACCATTATAGAATATTATAAAATTATATAAGTATATTAATTGTTTTATCAATATACATCTAAGTAATAATATTATTTATTATTTATGTAGATATATAAATATTAAATATTATTAATATTTTAATATAATCTTAACTAATGTTCCATAATTTTATTTTTCTTTGATTGAATTTAGGGTATCATCGATTTCAAAACTTTTAAAATGAAAAAATGTTTCTTTAGAAAATATATATAAAATATCTATACATTTTTTTAACCAAAATCTATTTACATTGAAAAATTACTTTGAATTATGATTTCGTGAATTTCTTATAATTTTTGGTCAATTAGAATTTATGTTCTGTTCAATTTTAGCCTTTTGATGTTTCGCATTAATGTTGGAATTGTGACGTCAGAGGCAAAAACAAATACACGCTAAAAATTCTTAGATGTAATTTCGAAATAAAAAGAAATTAAAAAAGCCATCCGAAGTAGGTGTTCCATCAAAATATCTTGTTACTTTAAATGGCATCTAAAATTTTTCAACGTGTTTTTTCTTCTGATATCACAATCTAACATGGCCGCAGCGAGGATGTCAAAAGTCTTAACATGAGTTTTATTTTAATTATAAACATTAACATAACATTAATTATAAACAATTATGAACATTTTAATTATAAAATTTTCGAAGATATATAAAAACAGGCTATCTTTGTATTTAAACTCTGTTTTTTTTATTATGTCTTTCGAAAATAATATTATTCATATAATATATAAAAGTTTGTAGACACATTACATTTTAAAATCATTGCACATTTTAAAATCATTAACAAAATTTTAATCGTAATCGTAAGCATAAATTGACTAATTACAATCAAGCATTCTAGTAAAAGTTAGGTATATTTTTCAACAAGTTTCCCAGGTAGCAAACTTAAATGACGTCAGTTTGCTACCTAGGTTCACAGTGTCACATTACTCGACACAATAAAAACTTAAGGCTATTGTGAAAGAGTTTCTATAGTAATAACCATAAGGCCATAAGCAATAAATCAACTAATCATAGTCATATTATGTTGATAAATGCTCGACTGTGATTGATCGATTTGCTTAGCGACAATACAAAAGTACAAATAAGAGGAACATGGAATAAAAAATATCCATCAATAAAGCAAATATACTAACCTGCATGTATTGTTGTTGCATGTGCTGCTGTTGTTGCTGTGCCATGTGTGATGGTACCATTACATTGCCCATTAAAGCCTATAAAAAAAATAAAAATATTGATAAAATATTACAAAAAATATCTCGTAAAATATTCATTTTTTAATGATTCTTATTTTAATATTTTTTTTTACAAAATAATGAGTAAAATCAATCGTGTACAGAAAACATTTTTTTTAAGTATGTAATTTGCAAGCACTTATTATATATTGAAGATCACGGATAGACGTATATAAACAAATATTGTGTTTTTTATTTATATATACATAATAACAAGTACAAGTGATTTGCGACTCAATTCAAATCGCGATTGTTCGATTTCGATAACCAATAGGAATCGATACTAGTTTATCATAAATTGGACTTTCTGATACAAAATAAATTTAGAAAAAAATTTTTTTAAACTAAAATATTTATTAAAATAAAACTTCTCATTCTTAAAAACGTTCGAGAAACTAAAATAATCACAGATCTTAACAGATTTATGCTTTCTTTACAAACTATTCTAACAATTTGAAAAACAAAATTAACGCAAGTTTCTATATATAAATAAAAAAAGAAAAAAAGCGTGAAAAAAAGTTTTATACATATTATGCATAATTGTAATGACGATTGCTTTATTTACAAAATGAATAATATGCTAATAAGAATATTTATGTAGTAGAATTTTTGCCTGCAATATTTCTTCTACAAAAAAGTGTATAATCTTATGGAACATATATTTTTGTGTCTTTGTGATACATGTTTTTCTTTCGGAAATTCTATTCTACATTTGTTAAAAAATACCTGTTGTTGAGGATTTCCTTGCATCGCCAAATGATGAGGTGATTTTTTATTAATAGCCATCTGCTGCTGCTGCTGCTGCTGTTGAGGCGACGAAGGTTGATGTTGGGGACTATAAATTTGATACGTGACATTTCCTGGCGCATTGTTACCGGCATAGCCTGGGTATCCGCTATATTGCATTTGCTGCTGCGGCTGTTGTTGCACTTGTTGTTGCTTCTGTTCATTTTCACCCGCGCCTTTGCTCACCAAAGACGCTCTGTATGCTGCGAGAGCTTTCAGGTATTCCTTCTTAGCTGCTTCTGTTTTTTTCTTGTAATACTAGACAAAGATTTAATAATGTTAACTTTATGAAAAATAAAAAAAAACATATTGTTTCTTTTTCTATTTACATCCCTAATAGTACAACATATTCGAAAGATATTCAGAAGATATCCAGAGGACATTCGAACATCCTCAGGATGTTCTCTGAACGTCTTCGGGGCGATATGTGCGCTGTTAGGGATCTCTATCAGTGATACATAAAAACATGAGGGAGGGAGAAAGGGAGGGAGGGAGAGAGAGAGAGAGAGAGAGAGGGAGGGAGAGGGAGGGAGGGAGGGAGGGAGGGAGGGAGGGAGGGAGAGAGGGAGAGAGAGAGAGAGAGAGAGAGAGAGAGAGAGAGAGAGAGAGAGAGAGAGAGAGAGAGAGAGAGAGAGAGAGAGTTAAAATTGTAATACTTACATTTTTATGCTCAACTTCCAATGCGTCCCACATTGATGCAACGATCTTAGATACTTCACCAAAACTGGCATTTGGATGTTTTCCTTTAATCACTGCTTGAGTGTCTCTGAAGAAAAGGGCGTATGCCGATACTGGTCTAAAAATTATAAATGTCGATATATTAAATTTAGAGAAATAATTGTATTTAAAAGCTCCTAAATTTTAATACTATGTTGTTTTAATTAATATATAATTATAACAATACAAGAAAAAAATGACGTCAGTTTGCTGCTTGGGCGATTACAAAACAAAGTATATCAATTGTATAAGAACCAGAGAATTTTGTTACTTACTTTTGTGGTTCGTTAGGATCTCTTTTCTTTTTTTTCTTTTGCGTTTTCGCTTTTCTTTGATTTTTAGCTCCAGCATCAGCCGTTTCTGGCGACGGTGGCTCACGCTTGACTACCGTAATCTGGAAAACAAAATATATTTAACAGGCTACATTTAAGAGAACACGTATTATTCAACGCATTTCTTTTAGCAAAATGCTAAAAAACTCTTGAAATAGTTATTTATCATTTATTCCATATTCAACTATGGATATTTTATGAATCATGACCGACACCAAAAATTCCTATTGAGGATTTTGAAAGTCCTAACAATATACTTTATTTTGGTGACAAGAAAACTTCTTTAGCACGTTGCATATTATAGCTAAATATAATGACAAAGTTCGTGAAAATAGTTTTTCTTGCAAATTTAATTGCATGTCTCTTAAAATTGTGACGTGATGGAGTAATATTGAAGACAGATTCGTGTTCAGTGTCCAAAACACTATAAAATACGATTAATTTTGTGCCGGTGTTTGTTTTGTTCAATAGTGTTATATGAGTGAATAATAATACTCAGTGTTGTGCTTAGATGATTTTAAAATTAGCTAGATGAAGATGAGATAAAAATATGTAAATTCATCTTAAATAAGATGAAGATGATTTTGTTTTAAATATATCTAGATTAAAGATAAAATTATATGGCGTTTCATCTAGATAATTTTCTAGATAATAATTTTTAACATTGTTTGTGCAAATACAGTTATAAAAAGATATAAATTATAAAAGGAATATAAAAATATATGTATTTATATTTTTATTTATAAATCTGTATCGCTTACTGTTTGAGTTCTACTATTTAAGTATTTTTATGTGCTATGATTCCAAACCAAAATTATCTGAAATGTATTTTAGATAATTTAGTAAAAATAATATTTTTTTCATCTAAGGTGCACACACAAATATAGATAATATATATTTTTATTATCTATATAAAGATAAAATGACGCCAAAGTTTCATCTAGATGATCATCTATATAATTTTATTTAGATAACAGCAAACACTGATAATTTTTAATATTATGTCTAATTTGATTTACCATTCCGGAATGCGGAGTGCTGTCATCGCTATCTTCACTGGTTGTAGTATTGTTATTCGTTTCTGATATATTATTCACTTGCATAGCACTTGGGCTACCTCCGGTCGGACTTCTATATTGCATTTGTTGCTGCTGCTGTTGCTGCTGCTGCTGTTGTTGCTGTTGCAGTTGCTGCTGGGAATGCATGTATTGCATGTGTTGCATCTGAACTTGCTGCTGTTGTTGTTGTTGTTGTTGTTGCTGCTGCTGCAGCATCAACAATTGCTGACCGCTATGTTGCTGTTGACGCGAGGAATTTATTGTTGCGTATGAATCTTGGGAGGTGCCATATGCTGAACTGTGAACAGAAAAATAAGAGAAATTTTGCATTTTAAATATTTTTTCCAAATGCAAAAAATTTTTATGCGTTTTTATGCAGAATATTAAGAGGAATCGATTTATATGTATAATAGTATATTGTGTATCAAGTGCGGAAAGTTGACAATTGGTCACAAGTGCGGGGGATGGACGCACGAGCCGAAGGCGAGTCAATCCGCACTTGATACACACGATATTTTGTATTACAAGTGCAGGCAAAATGGCTTTGTGCGCGTTTTCTATGTGCGAGGTGGCCGATCGCACGCCGCCATCTTGCGACGGCACGGTGCGGGAATAGCCGCGTTCAAAGTCATTGTCCACGGCTTCAGCCGTGGACAATGACTTTGAATGCGGCTTATTCACTCACCGCGTCGCCGCTAGATGGCAGCGTGGGAAATCGGCCGCTTTCCGCACAGAAAACACGCACACAAAGTGCCACTTTGCTTGCACGTGTAATACAAAAAAATATGGTAGTGATATTAAAAAATTCAAGGTGATCTTGTCCTAATTGTACGTCACTCAAGGTCCAAGTAATAATATTTGTAAATAGATATTTTTATAAACCCTACCAATTTTTATTTGATACATTTTTTTCTAAACTATATTGTTTATGAGATATTCGATTTCTAAACTTTCAAAATGCATATATTTATATATAATAATTATGATGGCAAAAAGTAATTTACACATATGAAAAAATGTGTTTTTATGGACTAAAAATAGAGCTAGCCGAACAAGGAAAAAACTCTTTGATGAAGTATCAATAGGTTAATAGATACAACGATACGATGCAATAAATAAACAAATGTACTTATGTAATCGCAAATCGATAAGGTGACATTGAAGAAGTAGCATAATTTTATTCATAACTGCGTGCAACGTAATACGTTTTATTATAAAAGCATTCAATGTTAACACGCATTATTATAAAAACATTTATCATTGTAAATCGAAATTAAATTCAATATAAAATTTCATTTTGTCAATAGTTATGGTTTAATGCGAGTAACATATATATGTATTAAATATATATTAATTTTCAAAAACTTATGTTATTATTTATGTTATTACGTACTTGTATGTTCTTTAAAAAAATTGAAATGTCTTTTTTAATTAAATTATATGTATGAATTATTCGCGATGAAATAGTGTGTTAATTTTCAAATTTGAAAAATATTTGTAATAAAGAAATATTAATATCTTACAAATTTATCATATATTTTTATTTTTCAATAACTTTTTTCATATTTTTCTTTAAATAAAGTGTAGAATGCTTATTAATAGAATTTTTAAACAAAATGTCTAAATTTTTCAAAATTTTTCTAATATTTTTAAGTAAAGTATGTTAAGTTAAACGTGCCAGATCCAAGAATTCATTATTGTAAACTCCAAATGGGTTCATTATAATTAAAAAAAAAACAACGAAATATAAGTTAATAGAATGAAAAAAATGTTAAAATCACCGAAGAGTTCAAGCATGTTTAAAACTTTACAAAAAAAATGGCAGAAAAATATGTTAGTCAAAATAAGTTTCTTTTTCACAAACAAAATTTAAGAAAAATAATTTGAGAAAAAAATATAAATGTTTAAATATTCTTTTTTTGTTAGCGGCAGGCCGTAAGTTATAAAATTTGGACATGAATTCGGAATGTCTAGTATTAGCATATTCAGTCCATTTTCCGGATAATATAATTTATAGACAATCGAATATATTAATTATGCAAAACTATATTAATGTATTCAATTATTAATTAATTATTAATTCAAATTGATGTTATTACAGTGGTATCTAAATAAATAAAAATGTCTTTTGGATATGGTGTGCTATTAGGAATACTTATTAAATCATTGTTTATTAATGTGTATGTGTGTCAATTCTTTAAAGTTTATATATCGTATAACTATAAAAATAAATTAAACCGTTTTATTAATAGAATATTCAGAATAATGGAATATTCAGTGGTTTATAAAGCTGTTTCTTTACATGCTATTTCATTCTATAAGAACGTGATTATTAGTAGTCTATGAGTCATGTTGTGCTTAAGATAATTGCAGATAACTCTCGGCAATATATTCGCTTCGATTCATGGCCTTGACGATAGAGTACGTATAAATCAAATATTTTTATTTGATATATTTTCCTCTCTCTCATCGATTACAGCATATAAAATGCAGTATAATGAATAATTCGACAAGCATAGTATATGCACACTTGGTAATATAGTAAAGTTAGCACCTCATTTTTGAAATTTTAAATTTGTTTTAATACTATGTAAAGATATCTCTGAAAAAAACGCGAAAAGTTAAAAAGCCTTTCTGCCATCTTTTATCTCGGAATGTACGTTAGTTTGCTAAGAAAAGAAAATAGATGTCGATGATGACTGAAATTGCAGTCATAAGACTATGTAATGATATGATTTTCATGAACGTTACTCGGTTAAGCTTAAATTAATGTATGGTAAATTATAACCTTTTGCATAGATATGAGCATGCGCGTCTAAAGCACATATCTGCTATTCATTTTGTTTATACAGGGTGTCCCATTTTAATGTCCTACTCCGAATAACTTTTTTATTTTAAAAGTTGTATGGTTTCGAGGGAGGCATAAGAGGTATAATTACCAAAAACTGAATATTTCACAAGACATTTTACATTTTATGTCAAAAAATTGTTAACTTCAAACCTTTTATAATTTAAAAAGTACTTAATGAAAAAATACTTTATTATAGAGTTTTGTAATGTTCTTGAAATAAGCCACAAGAATGTGCAATGAAAAATAAGTGGTTCCATTTAAGAATTTTTAGATGACCTTCAAACAACTATTCAAAGTCAAACTAATGGCGCCATCTTAGATCCCCCTTGAAACCAGACAACTTTTGTTTGAAACATTTTCTACTATACAATCAAAAATAAAAAAGTTATTTGGGTGGGACATTAAAATAGGATACTCTGTATAACCAATGATTTTCCTTCATTTGTTTGGAACAAGGAAAGGTGACTCTTTGTATCGCGACAAATCAATAAAACAGTAATTAAAGATATAATTAAGAAATTAAAATTCTAGATAGGACACTTTTCAAGTAGAACAGAATAGTTAAAATGATGTCATTTGGACTCTAAATATGATCAATATGACGTCAAATTGACATTTTGACTTTTTTTCTACTTGAATTTTACAATAATTGTGTAAAAATAATTCTGCAAAACGTACATCTTTTGCTAAAGTAGAATTTTGTAATTATAAGTTATGTTGCACATTTCATGTATTCTATCTTACATTTTTTTTGTGAAATTTTAGATTTAAAAATGTTTAAATAATAATTATATAATTTTTTATACTGTAATGATTTTCATAATAATTATAAAATTAGTTTCTAAAATGTATTTAGCAATAATTATGCTAAAATAATTCTCACTAATACCACAGTTATGTTAGCATTTTTTTTAGAGAGAGAGAGGTGTCAATTTTATATATGAAGATTGCTACATATTACAAAAATTAAATTTAGAATCAATAACTTCAAAATTTGAATTTAAAATAATAACACAACATTATATTACATTTTAAAATTAAAATAACGCTGAAATTTTTCTGTATGTTTTCCTATCTAGGATTCTCAAATAAAAAAAAATTATTATTAAGAAAATAAAAAAGAAACACATCGAGTTCTTCGAACTCTCGTTATTTAAGTTTTAATGTATTTATGGAATAATATAGTTTGTTAACGCTTAATGTAATAAATTTCTATTGAGGTCACGTATATCGTATATTACGATATTAACTTTATCGAATTTCTTCTTCACTTTGTGTTACAGCGAAATGAACATTTTGACTTTTTTATATAATGTCCAATTTTTTCGAATATAACGAAATTAAACGAAAATACTTTTTGCGAAAAAGATATAACATGGGCAAACAAAATGTCAAGTTTCGTATGTAACAAAAAACCAGACGGAACTGTTTCTCACAGATTTTAATGACCTTTGGATATGTTATAGAGCAGCTAAAATAAGAAAATCTATTTTTCTATATAGCTATTCTCGTATGTTTTGAGAAGTTGAAAGCAATATTTAAAAAAAGGATAATAAGATTACAACATAAAAGTTTGTAAAAATTAAATAATAATAATGCCATTTTTTATTCCGAGACAGTTTTCGAGGTATAAAGGGCTAATCACAGAGACTATATTTAGATTGTTATCTGTTCGTAAGTCGCGTGTGTTCTAGATTAGTATATGATTCATTCATGAACAAACGAGTAATTAAACGTAGCCTTGTATTGTTTAAACTTCATAACTCATTTTAAATGCTTATATCTCAAAAACTAGTGCTTATAATAAAAACATAAATATTTTTCTCAATTCATTTTTTGCAAACTTATACATATATTACGCGCAGTGATCCAAAAATGAACTAAAACATTTTTGTGATTATTTTTGTCTCATTTTATATATGTGACTAAAGATTAAACATATTTCCTGTTCGAAATAAATTTATTGTGCTCCATCTATTGTGTCCTCTGGCTTTATTATTTGTCTTTTTTATTTTATAAAAAAAAATAATTTTATATTTCAATATGAAAACAATTTTATAAAATATTAATTTGGTTTTCGGTCACCTTTATGCGTATGTATTATTAATAAGAACCTTTTACAAGAAGCAAAATGTATACTAGGATCTATCGGATTATAAGTTAATTATTGTTTACAGTGTATTTTAATGCTGAAGATGGCCAAATGTAGGCCGAAACGTCCAATCAATTTTAATAAATGCATGAATCTTTCGCACGACCATCTTGTGTTGGCTCTTAGCCCCTTTTTTCTCCTTATTTTATAATTTCAAATTTTCTGTCACGCTAGTCAATTTCTTAAATCAATTCTATATATATAAAATAAAAAATTAAAAGTTTTTATCGTTTATTATATCTGTGATTGCATATTCACCAATTATAGCCACTTGTTCAAATTCCATTTAAACTCTATTCAAACTTAAGAAATAAGACAAGACGGCTTTTTTTGATTGTCAAATGTCGCGGATATCTTCTGTTTCACCTAATTCATAAAGTTACGAGCTGAAATTTAATTAATAAAAAAAGTAAATTTCTTTTGTTCCTTTTACACATTTTTTTGTATTAATAACCCCAATTTTAATATTATATCAATATAGATATATTAAAAATACACGTAAAAATTAATGCGCACAATCGAGATTTAATATATTAAGTCCTTTTATAAAAAAGACTGTAAAGTCGATTCTCCCATGTATTGCCGCTTTTTCGTGTTGCTGATTGGTTGTCTCGATTCGCATTGTGTTTATTATTATCAAACAGTTGTCATTGCGAAGGTTAATAGTTTGACAGTTGCTCAAAATAATATATATCAAATCAAAGCACATAAAAGGATTTGATGTATATAATAGTTAAAATCTGATAAATAAGTGTTTATTAATTTTGTGATTGAGTAGTTTCGATTACAGTTTCTCAGTTAGAAAGGGAAATAGAAATTTGGTAAATTAAATTATGTATACATAGAAATTTAGTTAATTTAGATTATGTACATAATGGAAATTCAAGAATTAAAGTTATGTACATAATAGAAACGCAACGAATTAAAATTATTTATATAATAGAAATTCGGCGAATTAAAATTATATACGCATAATAAAAAAAAGAATTAATTTATGTACAAAATAAAAATTCATTGAATTTCCATTATGTACATAATTTTAATGCTTGAATTTTACAATATGTACATAATTTTGATTCGCCGAATTTCTATGATGTACTTAATTTCGATTCACGAATTTCTATTTCCCTTATGTGTATAATTATTATTCTTTTTCTACTATATGTTTTAATTCTCGAATTTCTATTATATACATAATTTTAATTAACCAAAATTTTATTATGTACATAATTTTAATTCTATATTTCACTATGTACAATTTTAATTCGCGCGAATTTCCGTAATGTATATAATTTTAATTCACCGAATTTCTATTATGTACATAATTTTAATCATTTATTTCTATTATATACACAATTTTTATTTCTTTTATCTAATTTTTTATTTTTTAATTTTATTTTTTTCTTTTATTTTAATTCGTAATTTTATTATGTTTCCCTTTTTTTTTTTCTCTTAATTTTAATTTCCCTGTTTCTATTATGTACTAATTTTAATTTCCAGTTTTCTTTTTAATTTATTCCTTGTCTCATTTCTTGTAATTTTTAATTCCCCGTATTTCTTTTACGTACATACTTTTAATTTGCCCCTTTTTATTATGTCTATAATTTTAATTTTTCGTATTTCTTTTATGTAAATAATTTTAATTTGCTTTCTATTATGTACATATAATTTTCTTCTTGAATTTTCATTTGTTTTAAATTTTAATTCGCTGAATTTATACTATACACAATACATAATTAAATCTCTTGTAGAGATTATTCTAATTTTAAATCTTGGCCGTGACACAAGTACAATTTGGTGCCTTTTGCCAGGCATTTAATTCTAACGGAAAAATTTTAGTTTCGTTAGGATAACGCGCTGTCATCCGCGATTGGCTCTTATTGCCTGTCTTACACTTTAAATTTATATTTATATTACAGAGCTTTGTTAAACTCTTAACAATACATAAGTATTCTTGAATTTCTATTACGCGTTATAATTTCAATTCGTCTTTCGCGAAGATCAAATTCGAATGGACGAATATTGTGTATATAAATTCAACTGGCCGAATTTTTAAGGTACAATTTCACTTATTTACATAAAAGAAATACGGCGAATTAATTATGTATATGTATAATAGAAATTCGGGAATTAAAGTTATATACATAATTGAAATTCCGCGAATTAAAATTATGTACACTCGCGGAATAAAAGTTTTGTTTAGTGCGCGCGAAACACGCGCTTGTGTTATCTAGTAATAATAAATTGGAGAATTTTGGAATTATATTTACCTGACATTTATCGATTGCATCGAATGATCTTGCTGTAATAGAGTTGTTGCTGATATCCACTAGTATCCAAATTTAGATTATCCGGCGATTGCTGCATAGCATTACCCTGCATTATCTAAAATGATTTAATATATATAAAATGTTAATATTTTTTATAATAACATTAAAAAACTAGAACATACTTTATAAAAAACTTTTAATTATAATTCGATCTTTAATTTTTTAACTTAAATATTCTGTATATATATATAAATAACTAATATATTATTTAAAATAAAAGTTTTTCTGATTAATATAATATCATAATTAAAAAATCAGAAATCTAAGGAATGAAAATCATTTCTTGCCGCAAAAAAATATCACGAGAATTATTTTCCTCCAAGTTTTTCTTACCGATAAAGATCATAAAAATTTCTACCGTGTTTGAATATTTCTTTATCTCTTCATCTCGAAGTTAAAAGGAAAGAAAAAGATCGTCGCGGACGATGCATATATCTAAAAATAATGTCTTGAATGTTACATGAATAATGCCCGAACGCGGAAGTTGTTAAACAGCCCGATACATCATTCCGACATTCGTTTTTCCAACGCAATGGCGCATGCATATGCGTAGACATTATTATACAGGGTGTCTTTTTTAATTTAAAATTCCTATTTTTCATTACATGTTCTTGTAACTTTTATTTCAAGAGCTTTCCAAAACACTATAATAAAATATTTTTATTCAGTATTTTCCGAGTTACAAGGCTTGAATTTTAATTTTTATATTGATCTTCAAATGATCAAATTTGACCCTAAGGTCAAGATCAAGCGTCATCATCAGATAACCATCTCTAAACCGTGCAACTTTTGTCTGAAACATTTTCTTTCTTCTAAACATAGATTAAAATGGAACACCCGGTATATGCGTTTTTAAACTTAGTACACATCTACACACATTGTCTACATGATGTTCACAATCCACGAACTGTGTACTGACAATGTTTTCCATTTACATTTACTCGTCCTGTGCTTTCAGTCAAAATTTAAACTCGTCTGATTTGAGAATATCAAAATTTGACGTCATACTGATTAAATTTAGAATTCACAGAAGTCCGTCCATTTTAATAGGTGTTTCTGGGCTTTCCTCAGAGATGAGATATGTATATAGGGCATTGTAAGAGAATTGAAAATTTATATGTGCTAGTGTCCAAAACACCCGCCGATCAAAGTTATGACGTCATCAATGTTGGCGTAAAATGTATCCATTTATGTCTGTTTACACAATGTTCTCCCGCTTGCAATAAACTGATGATTTTTTTATTTTATGAATATGACTCCCAGAATTCTTGCTTTTGTATTCATCCTTTTCTAAAGATTTTTTTTACATTCAAAGTATTTATCTCGTAAAGAAGGTCTTGGGGTCGGTAGGTTATTGTTTGGGATCTAGGATATGTTAAATACCTTTCAGAAGATATATTATATATAGATATACTTTCTGAACATAATAATGTGACGTATTTGTTATTTTGGACAGCTCTGATGGTGAGCCACTAAACTATTTTTTTTTTTAATTACTACTATTATATTATCTACAAAATTATATATGTTTGATGACTGGATCTGGGGGGCCCAAAACGGGTTAACTTCTTTGGTCAATTTGACATCAAATTGATATCATTTTGACTTTCTTGGGTCTTTACTACTGACCTTTGTGTGGTCTGGATGAAGCCTGGATGGAATCAAAATGACGTTCCTTTAATTTCACTTTAGGGAATAGAAAATAATCAACAGATGCTAAATCGGGCATAAATAAGGATGGTTGAGAACAGTAACATGTTTCTTTGCAAGAAATTGCCTGACAATCATCGAATTGTAACAAGTTGTCATGCAGTTTTTTGTAAAGAAACACGTTACTGTTTTTAGCTACTCCTCTTATTCGTCAGATTGGACACCTATTGATTATTTTCTGTTCCCTAAAGCAAAATTGAAGGGACATTTCGATTCCATTTCAGCCAGAAAAGCATGACAAGTAAATTACACACAGTGTATTTCAAGACAAGAATTTCATAGAAGCATCCAAAATCGATGTACAACAGGATGTGATCAACTATATAAAGACTAGATAAGAATAGGTACTTTTTGAAATTTATTAATTAATGTAGTCCTAAATTTTTTTGGCGCGTAAGTGCATTTTTTTGGTGTGTAAGTGCATACTAGGTTTAAACTTATTATTCGTTAAAAAAATATCTTGTATGAGAAAATTTGTTTGTACATCTCAACTATAAGAATACATCTTAACCTACAAACTTTCCCAGACAATAAAAACATCTAAAACTGGGACGTCTTAAAGGCATCATTAAGATGTCTTTTAGATATGATATTATAATATGTTTTAGGATATTTTTTAGACGTTTTATGTCCCGTTTTTAGAATTGATGTTGTTTGATTGTGAGTGTTGCATACAAGAATGCATGTAGATATGTGTACTGAACTGTTTGGCTGACTTTAACAATTATTGACTCGAATATACCTGTGGCTGACCATACGCTTGCATGGAATCGTGTTGTTGATGTTGTTGTTGCTGTTGTTGTTGCTGATGTGAATGAGGATGAATAGTTGGTATATCAAAGTCCTCGTCACCAAAACTCGGTGTATGAAACGTCTGAAACAAATAAATAAATATATATATAGCACAATTTTCCTTCTTTAGTGATACTTAGAGATACTATTAACGAAAATATATTCCTTTTAGTTCTTTCTTCTTAACGTTTCTATGTATAAAACAACCTCATCTATGATTGAAAGAGAGATAAAAATAAGAATTCCAAGAAAATATATTTCCTTTTCAATTAAAAAAAACTCAACGTAAAAAAATAGAATCAAAAATCAACTGTGTGACTATCCTTTAACGAATAATAAATAGCATTATATCCTTCAGAATCTCTTTTAGCAATTTATTCTCTTTCACAAAAAGGAAGAAAAATTAATTTATTACAACGCACGCGTGGTAGAAAGAATAAAAGTTTTAAAATAAATTTAATAGCATGAGGAAGACAATTTTCCTTTGTGAAGAAACATGCTTGTATCTCGATTGTCGTAGTTATTGTACAAGAGAAATAGAAATAAGATGCGTCATAACTTTAAAATTCTAATTTTTATGATAAAGTAAAAATAATATATATTTTTCAAATTTATAGTCTTATCATATTCGTAAAAATTTTAAAATTAATAAACAAATTAAAATTTTATAAAAATTTTGGTTTTTTAAAAACATTTCAATTTTGTCATCTTGTTTCCACACATATGTGATTACTTTTAATAATAAGTAAGATAATGAGAAAAATAAGTCAAATTAAGTTAAAAATAATTTTCTTTATATTATAAAGAGAAGAATTTATGATAACCTTGTCGTATTATGTTGACATAATATTTAAACACATAAGTAAAATACAAATAAAAATAAAATAAAAAATATTATTTATATGCCTTAGAAAAAAAATTACTAAAACATTAAAACAAAAACAATTAATTACATAAGTATATAATATAAAATTAAATTAAAGATTTAGAAAACAGAAATAATTATTAGTTAAATAGGAATATTTAAAACTAATTTAAAATCAAATATTATATTGGAATCAAATATTGCATTAAAAAATATTTAATTTTTATATGGAGTGAGCTTAAAGATTACATTATATAGGTACGTATTAATTTTTACATATCTAAGTAAGATACATATCTATAGAATTTAAGATATATATTTTTTTACATATTGGATAACAAAATCCACAATTATTTTATTTTAAAATAAAAAAAAATCGATAAATTGTATATGATAAGATTTATCTACACAGATGATCACAGAATATTACGCATTAAATAATCATGAGTAATCACATTAACAATGCATATCAGCAAATTAACAAATATATAATCTATAATCTGCAAGTATGAATGCGTCACCTTATTGTCAATACATACATATATGATTCACCAGCTTACTCTACACTACAGTGATTGTAATCATATTTATTTTTCCATATCAAAAATATCATAATATAAAAAATATGGAAAATACGTTATTAAATGCGTTTTTTAGTTATAGAGTGACTTTGTAAAGATAATAAAAATATTTACTATAATTTTCTATGAACAAACAAAAATTACATACAGGTACATTTAAAAAATATTTTTCTATTTATTAAAATGTACTCTATTTTCATCGACAAATCAAACTACAAGAAATTATTTATTATTATTAAGTTTCTAATAAGTATCGACTTCCCATCTGTTAACTTCAAGAAATAAAAAAAGCAATTTGTTAATTTATTTACTTGATCATCTTACTCTCTTTTCATCTATTCCATCTGTGGCCTCATTTTATTTTATTAAACATCCACATTATTAGAGTATTGTGCCTGTAAATGACGATTCAATAACGTTGATTTAGAATCTGAGTAATTATATCATGTAATTCACGTGATCATGTGATGCAATAGAACGAAACAAGTCGTTGTTGTGCATAAACTGGATTTATAGATGCCATTAACTATTTTATTACAACCTATTCCGACGATCGTTTATCGCGAAATTCATTTTATGTTTACGTGCTCGTGACACTATTATACTCGCAATACTAAAACAATAGTGAACATTATGATCCAATTCGTGTACACAGTGTTCTAATCATTATGTCAAAATTGCAATAATCGCAAAGATCGAGCATTCTTGATTATTTCAACAAAAAATTACACTAGTTTATAAAAAATTGTTTCTTTTTCATTATTTTAAATCAAATAAGGTTTCTTATTATAGATTTTTAGATCCTGAAAATGATATCGCAAGCCAATTTTCACCACAGCACGTCAGATTCCAAAATAATTGAGATTTAATATACAAAAAATAACTTTTTTACAATATTTGAAATTTTTAAATGAAAAACGTTATCTGAAAATTCTGATCAGTTGCCATGAATTATTTGTTCATCTCTTATAAAATGTATATTTGATCAGACTTTCTAGATAACGTCAACTTCTTTTACAAAAAAATCTTAAATATAGCAAAAAAGTCATTTTTTATACATTTAACTTTAATTATTTTGGAAATCTTACATATACTCATGAAGAAATGCATATACTAGTGAAATTTGGTTAGTTTAGTTGGTTTGGTGTTTCTTATGGATTTTTGGTATTCAGCTCACTCAAAAATTCATAAGAACACTTTGTCTGCTTTAAAATAATTTTTGTCTGTAAAACTAGTGTTATTGTTAATGAAACATCTAGGGGTATTTTATTATGTTTTTCATTATGTCAAAGTCATTTTTTACACAGTTAGGATCAGTTTCATTATTTCCGGTTAACTTAATCGGCTGATTAAATTTAAGAATTGGCCCAATTTAAAACTGTTCAACTTTATCTACATTTATAATAAGATGTCTGTGCAGTTGACAATTCTTAAATTTAATCAGTCAATTAAGTTAACCGATTAAAATTAAGATAATAGAAGATGGCGAAACTGGACTCTATCCCAATTATTTTGGAAATCTTAATATTAGTGAAATTTTGATTATTTAAGAACATTTTGTCTGCTTTAAAATAATTTTTGGCTGTAAACTAGCGTTATCGTTAATTGTCTAGGGACATTTCATTGTGTCTAATATCGTTCGACACACTTTATGCTTTATCGTCGCCTGTTTTTTGCTTCGGCTTCTAGAATGACATTGAATTTGTAAAGCATATTAAACGCACAGGTAAATGTAGCAAAAAAGGATTGCGATAGTTCGGGACTATTGGTTAGGAGTACGAAAGACGAAGAAATATCATCTTTCGTTGTCGTTGTCATCCTTGTCATCGTCGTTTTTCTTTTCTACGCTGTGAACTAAACTCGTTCCGCCATCTCGTTAAAACTTGTGCGCGACTCTCACAACTTGGCTCTTCTTCTTCTTCTTGAAGAAATATTATTTAGATGGTTTCCTAGTTATACAACTCACGATGTCTCAGCCTCCTCTTCTATATAAATTACATATTATTTCAATACAGATTGCGCGATGAATTTTTTTCTCTGTATATACAATGTTCGAATAAAAGTAATATTAAACTAAAACAAAACTTTAGTTTACCTAATACTAATAATATTGATCTAATTGTACATTTTATCAAAAATATCGAAAATAATCTGAAAAAACTTCCAGTCGTTGATCGCAAGACCATCATTAAAAGGTCTAATAACATCCTTAAATCTATTGGTACATATTCGTATCCTAAAAGCAAAACCAACAAAAAATTAATATATTTAATTATTCCATGATTTACTTACTAGATGGAAAAATAACAATTACATTTTAGTACAGACATATCGTTCATTGTCATTTAGTGAGGGAACATTACCGAGAGCTTACGGTTTACCTAAAATCCACAAAGAAAATTGTCCGTTTAGACTAATTGTATCCTCTATAAATACTCCTTTATATCAGTTAGCACTTCACTTACACCAAATTATGAACAATTGTTTCCCTGTCTGTAATAGCCACATAGAAAATAGTTTCGAAATGGTTAACAAAATTTCAGATATTTACATCCATAATGACTACAAATTATTATCTCTTGATGTTATTTCACTTTTTACTAACGTACCTATCGATTTAGCTCTCGAGTGTTTCCAATAAATGGCAATATATTGAAAATAATTGCAATCTCCCTAAGTCTGAATTTTTAATTGGAGTAAGCCTCGTATTAAATTCTACATATTTTACATTTAACAATGTTTTTTATCGACAATCCTTCGGCACACCAATGGGTTCTCTTTTATCTCCTATCATAGCTGATATTGTACTGCAAGATTTAGAAAATAAAGTTCAACTACTCTTCAACTACTAAAGGTTTGTCCACCCATATACATCAGATACGTAGATGATATAATAATGGCTGCTCCATCGGATTCCATAGATCACACATTAAATTTATTTAATTCTTTTCACAAAAGAATCCAGTTTACTCTTGAAATTCAAGATATTAATAAAATTAATGTTCTCAACTTAACATTGATATTAAAAAAATAACATCATATATGATTGGTATCATAAAAAAACGTTTTCTGGTAGATATCTGAACTTCCTTTCTCAACAGAGTCAAAAACGAGGTACGATAATGGGGTTGGTGGATCGAGCCTTATCAAATCCAGAATTTCACAAAGAAAATTTAGAGTTAGTAATCAAAATATTACTCGAAAATAACTATCCTCTGAAATTGATTTTTGACATCATGAACCAAAGACTAAAACATTTAATAGAACAACGGAATATTCTTACAAACAAGAATGACCAAAATTTAAAGGTCTCGTATTTCTGCATTCCATTCTTACCGACACTCACTGAACAATATAGAAACATCATTAAAGATATGAATGTTAAACTCTCTTTTTATAGTCTTAACAAATTGAATAAATATATTAAAGTACATAGAGATCCTATTTCTAAGTGTTCAAATACCATTGTTATATATAAGATAGACTGTAAAGATTGTAATGCATCGTATGTTGGTCAGACTAGTAGGAAATTATCTACTAGAATATCAGAACATCGATCTAATATACATAGAAACGTAAAAAAATATGTAATCACTGACCATAGATTAAAACATAATCATGAATTTAGTTGGGACGATGTAGAAATACTTGACAAAGAATCACAATATAACAAAAGATTGATTTCAGAGATGATATTCATAAAAAGGCAAAATAACAGTCTTAATTTAAAAACAGATATTGATGGCTTGCCAGTAATTTATGACGATATAATACATAGACTACCTAAGATATGAAAGTTAAAAAACATAAACTAACTATTTTCTCCGTTGTGTGGTCGTCTCTCTGAGAGATAAAAATCATTCGTTATTGTAACCTCGAGCAATCAACATCTGAAAGCCTTCACGTCACAATATAATATCTTACTCGATTTAATTGTAAGTCTATTTTTATTAATTTACTTATCTTTCAATGTTAATATTTCGTATACAATGATTTTATAGACATATTAACAATTGCTGTTATCGAGATTCGCAACCGACCTCCTAACCGAACAATTAGCGAGAGATCTGTTTCGCGACAATTACATAGAATGACGATTCAAGGAATAGAATATATAAAGATGCTCATGCTTTAAAAATGCGTTGATTTCGTTAAAAAAAAAAAATAGCTTGACGTAGTTTTATGCGAATAACTGTGTTTCTGTATAGTTTTATTATATTGACAGTTATGAATAATTGATTGTTAATTTCTATTAATCTTTAATTTTAAATGATGCACTGAAGAAGGTTGAAAAAGGCAACCAAAACGTTCGAATTTATTTCTGTCTAATATTTTATGTTATAAATCTTTTTCCACAAATAAATATTAATGAAAGAACTTAATTAGCTCTTATTGCCTTTTATATGTATATTAAAACAAAACATTTTGCAATATTTAAAAAAATTTTTAGAAATAAAAATTAATTATTATAGCTATTAGAGTATCGACCACTGTTATTATTAAAAATGCAACTAATAGTTGCACAAATTTTATATTTCTTAAAAAATAGCTACATGTATGTTTTCTTTATACCAAATGATTTCTTTCATTTTATGCAAAGTATTGAGGTAAAGTGATCGAAAAATTAATAATTTATGAGATATTTCATAGTTTATATAAAATTTTGTCAAATTAAAGTATAAGATATCTTGTAAACTATTAACTTTTTGGCCATCTGAATATTGCGAGAAATTAATTTATATTAAACAATTAGGGGTAGTTCTGCTAAAAAAACTAGATTCACTTTCAAATAATTTTGAAAAATTGGTTAAAATTCAAGATTATCAACTTTTTCCCATATCAAAATTTTTCAATTTTTAAAATATTTTCTCGTGAAAATTTCTAATTTCAGAGATATTCAACTAGAGAGAATATTCATTATCTCAAAATTAGAGTCAATTAGTTACCCTAAAATCGATCTAATATAATTGACAATAAAATCAGTGTTGATCTGTGTAATCAATTCTCTTGCTATTAATTATTCTTGGGAATATTAAGATACTTCGATCAATCTTTGCTATGTGTTTAATATCGCGCAAAATTAAAACGTAATTTATTAAACAACACTAAACAACAAAATTGCAATTTGATAGTTATTTATCGCAGATTGGCATTACCGGACGCTTAGATTGGATTAGACGACAGGCAACTGATTGAATGCGTTTCTATATTCACTAGGTCTCTATATATGTATGCTATTCTATTCTCATATCTATTTTTTACACAAAGATATATTTTTTCTATCTGCAGACCTAATTCTAAAGTTATCGTAAAAAATTTGCACTATGAGAGCAGATTATTTCCCATGACATAAATCGCGGAACCAGTCATTAAATTAAATTGTAATGCTAATCTGGCTATGTTTAATCAGACTAGTTTAATAACTAGTTTAAACGAGAAGAGAAATCAGAGAGTGTATATAGATAATAATAGAGAAACACTTTATCTGAATTTTTTTAAATTATAATGGCACCTCTATGTTATTAAATTTTAAAGGCGCATTATTGCCATTGGAGCGGTTTTTGAAGGAACTAAAGTGCATATCATTAAAAAAATCAGTTCATATATATGTGTGTGTATATATATATATATATATATATATATATATATATATATATATATAACTCAAATATAATACAGATAATAATTCTTAAGGTTCGCCAGTAATAATTAATAAAAATCTCTCCTCAAAATTAAAAGTCGACCAAACTGGCAATCATTTATTATAATTAGTTAAAATACAACGTTTCGACTGTCATTGCAGCCCTTTTCAAGTAAATCTATAATAAATTACATAAAAATAATTTTAATTTTAATACACTTTATCGCAACAAATAATTATACATTCAAATACAAAAATATGCTACATACCAAATTAATACAGTAAATCAAATTCACTGCAACCACCGACAATATTCACCATTGTTTTGATGAACAATGTAGAACTGACAGAAGTAAGCAAGAAATAAATAGATGTTAACAGTTAGCAAGAATCTTAGTCACTACGCGTTAAGAAAATAGAGACAAAACTAATGTGTCTTTCGCAATCTAAAACCTCATAATAAAGTCAAATAAATAAATAAATAGGTAAAAATATGCAATGACAGCCAAAACGTTGTATTGTAACTAATTATAATAAATAATTGCCAGTTTGGTCGACTTTTAACTTTGAGGAGAGATTTTTATCAAATATAATAAACAAAAAAAAAAATAATTAATATAAAGTTTAATTATGTTAAAATAAATAAAATTGCCAACTCTTATAGATAGATAAGCGATTAACTTACTTGGTCAGACATGTTGTAGTTGTCGTGATGGTATGATGCTTGATGATGCTGTGAAATGTTCAAGGATATGTCGAGATTGTCGTTTCTCTGCAACAAACAGAAATCAGAATTATTTAATTAACTATGTTTATAGTTTATTTTTATATATTTAATATTCTTTGCATACACGTCGTATTTTTATATAACACATTAAAAATTTTCTTCTACAAATCATATTTATCATATTATATATAATCATGTATAAAATAAGGAAAGTAAATGAAAAAAGATAGCATATTTTTACAGTTTTATTTTATGCACGCTTAATGCTATCAAATAGAATTAAGAGTAACAAAATTGCACATTGTTCCTATGTGATAAGAGTACAATAGAGATGCATCCTTTCCTTAAAATGTGCATGTTAAGTCTATTACTCGAATATATCGAAATGTTGAAGCCTCTTTATTCCGATGCTGATTGGATGCTGGCGCGTTGCGATATATTCGTGGTTAGGGTAGATGCGTAGCGTTCGAGCGCCTTGTAATGTAAAAATGATGTGTTCTATTATGTACATAATTTGAATTCCCAAATTTCCATTCTATACAATTCGATAAATTAAAATTATTAAAAATCTTTCCTCAATGGTAAAAATCGACCAAACTGGCAATCATTTATTATAAATAATTAGTTAAAATACAACGTTTTGGCTGTCATTGCAGCCCTTTTCAAGTAAATCTATAAAAAGTTACATAAAAATAATTATAATTTTAATACATTTCATCGCAACAAATAATTATAAATTCATATACAAAAATATGTTACATACCAAACGTAAATGCATAATAAATTAATACAGTAAATCAAATTCACTGCATACCACCGACAATATTCACCATTGTTTTAATGAACAATGTAGACTTGACAGAAGTAAGCAAGAAATAAATAGATGTTAACAGTTAGCAAGAATCTTAGTCACTACGCGTTAAGAAAATCGAGACAAACTAATGTGTCTTTCGCAATCTAAAACCTCATAACAAAGTCAAATAAATAAATAAATAGGTAAAAATAAAAATAATTTAAATAGCATCAAGAACACGATCATAAATCCCACTAAAATTCTCCGTATCTTTCTGTAAATTAATGCCTTTACTTTGTTTTTTTAATATAAAACATTTCTGCAATTTCTGTTTTTCTTAAGGTAGTAGATATTAAACTGACTACACTGGCTGTCTATTAGATTTGTTAAACTATATTTATTGACGTTTCGACCATACGGGCTGTGGTCCTTTTCAAAATTACAATAGAAGCATTAATGAGTTACTGCATATCGTTATTGACATTTAAAAGTACGCTCCGGTGAGACTTAACTTAAGATCGGATGGTAAATTAACTGCGTTTCACTTGTGTCATCTTGCCACGACTGAACACACTGTACTTATTTAACAAATCTAATAGACAGCCAGTGTAGTCAGTTTAATATCTACTACCTTAGTATTTCATTCCTGGCGAACGAAATTTAATATTTTATTTTCTGTTTTTCTTGTTTGTTTTTCTTGATGTAAGATTACCGGAGAATCCCAACGGAACTCATGATCGTTGCAAGTCCGATGCAAACTAACGATTGAATGCAATGTAGTGTCTTTTGATATTATTTCTATGTTCTTTGATGCGCGTTTCCAAATGTCTCTTTGTCTATCCAACATACGTAGAATTACAATTCGCACATTCAATTTTATACACGACATCGGTTCTTTTTAAGTTGTCTATCCTATCTTTTCCTCTTTTTATCAGTGTGTCTAATTTTTTTGGAACGGTATATAATACATCAATTCCATTTTTATTAATGCAACGCGTAATATTCTCGCTCAAATCTCTAATGTAAGGCACCATACAAGTTCGCGTATCAAATTTATTTCGGTTTAATGAGCTTAGATTACCGCCAAATTTAATCGCCCTATGTCTTTTGTTAATATTTTTGTTTATAACCATTAACGGGTAACAATTATTACGAAGAATTCTTCTGACTATATTAATGTTTTCTTCGTGAAACATAAGGTCAGCGAGTACAATAACCCTATCCACTAGGCTTGTGATCACACTGAGTTTATCTCATCGGATGATTCGATAGAAAATTTATATATCGATCTAAAAACGTAGGTTTACGGAACCAATTAGTCATTAATCTGCCACCAATACGTATAACATTCGTGTCCAAAAAACTCAGAGAACAATTGTTCTCTAATTCAGATGTAAATTTAAGTCGAGTGTGAAAACCATTGAAAATCCTAAGCATATCCTCCATTTTTCCTTTCGGAATAATATGAAAAAATATCATCGACGTACCTAAAATAACAAGAGGATTCGAAATCCAATTGACGCAAACAATATGATTTCAAATCGTCCATAACCATGTCGGATAAAATTGGAGACAAAGGAGACCCCATAGGAGAACCGAAAACCTGTTCGTAAAATTTACTGTCAAAACGAAACTAGTTGACCGCATAACAGTGTCGATCGCGTGTAAAAACTGTGCAAGGTTAAATGAAGTAAATTGTGAGATGTCCTCCCATCAGTTTTCTATTGCTATCTTAATTAATTCCCACGGAGTGTTGGTAAAAAGTGAAGTCACGTCCAACAAAATCATAACCTGACTATCGTCAATGTTTTTATCTTTAATAATTTCCACAAAGGACCAACTATCCTTGATATGAGATCGAGGTTTCTTGACTGCATTTTGCAGTATCTCACTCAAAAAGGTTGCAATGTTATAAACAGGACTTCCTACCGTTGAAATTATGATACGGAGAGGGTAACCTGCTTTATGGATCTTTGGTAAGCCATAGCCCCGAGGCAAATTACCATTCGTACACCTCAAATGTTTGTATGTGGTCTCATCTATGAGTTTATTGTCTAACCAAGATTTTAACAAAGAAGTAATTCTTGCGTTCAGTGCATTTAATGAGAGGTGTTGCCTTACATTAGAGATTTGAGCGAGAATATTACGCGTTGCATTAATAAAAATGGAACAGTCTCTTATAACTCGTCTAAGAGTCTTGACGTGTGGTCAAACCGAGACTATGTTCGTTCTTGACATCTTAAAATTATAATTTTATTTTTATTTTCACAAATCACTTGATAAGGATTCAAAGAAGGGTCGAAACGTTGTGATTTAATTAATAATATTTGCCAGTACAGTCGAGAGAAGTCTTACTTTTTTTAAAATGGAATTGATGTATTATATACCGTTCCAAAAAAATTAGACACACTGATAAAAAGAGGAAAAGATAGGATAGACAACTTAAAAAGAACCGATGTCGTGTATAAAATTGAATGTGCGAATTGTGATTCTACGTATGTTGGATAGACAAAGAGACATTTGGAAACGCGCATCAAAGAACATAGAAATAATATCAAAAAAGATACTACATTGCATTTAGTCGTTAGTTTGCATCGGACTTGCAACGATCATGAGTTCCGTTGGGATTCTCCGGTAATCTTACATCAAGAAAAACAAACAAGAAAAACAGAAATTGCAGAAATGTTTTATATAAAAAAACAAAGTAAAGGTATTAATTTACAGAAAGATACGGAGAATTTTAGTGGGATTTATGATCGTGTTCTTGATGCTATTTAAATTATTTTTATTTTTACCTATTTATTTATTTATTTGACTTTGTTATGAGGTTTTAGATTGCGAAAGACACATTAGTTTGTCTCGATTTTCTTAACGCGTAGTGACTAAGATTCTTGCTAACTGTTAACATCTATTTATTTCTTGCTTACTTCTGTCAAGTCTACATTGTTCATTAAAACAATGGTGAATATTGTCGGTGGTATGCAGTAAATTTGATTTACTGTATTAATTTATTATGCATTTACGTTTGGTATGTAACATATTTTTGTATATAAATTTATAATTATTTGTTGCGATGAAATGTATTAAAATTATAATTATTTTTATGTAACTTTTTATAGATTTACTTGAAAAGGGCTACAATGACAGCCGAAACATTGTATTTTAACTAATTATTTATAATAAATGATTGCCAGTTTGGTCGACTTTTACCATTGAGGAAAGATTTTTATTAATTATTACTGGCGAACCTTAAGGATTATTATCAATTAAAATTATGTATATAATAAAAATTCGAGAATTAAAGTTATGTACATAATTGAAATTCAGCAAATTAAAATGATGTACCCTCGCGGAGAAAAAGTTTATTTGGCGCACGCGAAGCGTGCGCTTGTTATCTAGTATATATTAAAATTGCAATAATATAATACAATTATTAATATAATTAGGGGTAACATGTGGCTTCGCATTGGAAGTAGCGAATTGCTAGGCGAAAGGTCCCACGTTCGATCCTAAACACTCCATATGCCTCATAAAAGGTTTTTTTTTAAAAAAAGGATTGTGGAGAAGGTAGTTAAGGAGAAAGAAGAGAAGATGGGGAAGAGAGGAGGAAAAAGGGATTATAGTTGTAAGGTTAAAAGGCCTATAGCCAGGTTAAAAGGAGTTAAAGAAATATTGTAAAAGCTTCAGATTCGTTCTCTTGTAAAAAACCGCCTTTGTAGATTCAAGGGGGGATCGAATAAGCATTATATTATTATAATTATTGCGCAATAATTAATAAGAAATTAATTTAAAAAATACATAATTGTGGGCGTATTTACTCCATCGAATTATCATCTGTCGAGCACCTCAGCGTAATGCGACATTGATAACCAGAGAATGCACGATGGAATTTCAGAAAAGCATTTATTCGTAATCAAGATAGTTGCAAGTGAGTTATGCCGAAGGGTAATGTTTGACATTTCATAATAACAGCCAGATGTTAGGAAGGCGTTACCGCGTTTCACCGAATACAGCAGCCACGGAACGAGAACAATGCAATGGACATAGTTATGTCCGTTCCACTCGAGGAATTTAACATGATGTGTGTGTGTGTGTGTGTGTGTGTCGTATATAGAATTTTAAAAAATATATCTCTTTAAGCCAAAGGAATATGTCGGAGCAAAATAGTAATCAATATAACTCTCATTAGTTTTGAATTTTATTTGAATAATTTATCGCTTGCTTCTGCTTTTATGTTTATAACTAAAATAAT